ATGGTTTTTCTTTTCATAATGCCTCCGGTGGGTCGAGGGTAGGTTGGGGGTCTACTATATGAATAACCCCTCTTCTCTCTCTCAACCTCCTTCTTACTGCGAGCTACTACTTGTAGTTTTATGCCATTTCTCATAATCTCGGATATCTAGATGAGCCAATTGTTCCCTCAATTCTGGTCTAGCCTTCTCCAATAAGCGCTTAGCCTTCCATTCGGAATCATCCCTATACTGCAGGTACGTGTATCTAGATAACTCCTGAAACTTAGCAATGAATGTGTCCTCATCGAGGTTCCCTTGCTTAAAGGCATGGAATTCCGCTTCCTTCTCAGACCTTAACTCTGATGGAAAGTAATGCCTAAATAATTTTTCCTTGAATTCCTCCCAGGTGAGTGTAGAATCATCCCTGGGCCCTGCTGTCTCCCACCAGCTCTTGCTCCTTTCACTAGGAGCACTAATGCTACTTGTACTTTTTGATTGCTGGTGCATGTGACTACTACTCGAAAGATGGATTCGAGTCTCTTCACCCATTCCTCTACCACGGATGGTTTAAGGTTTACCATCAAACGTAGGAGGGTTAAACTTCCTAACAGTTTCCCACACATCAGTAATGGTCGGTGGGGCTCTCTGTTCCTCCTGCCTAATTTCTTTCCTTCTAGACTCATGATCTCTCAGAGTGCAGGATGTGAGGAACTGCCTTCCCCCACATGACTCTCAACATGAGCCCCTATCTCCATTTTCAGTTACCTTTTGCCTCTTTAGCTCCGTCAACTCTTGTTCGTATCCTTGAACCTTGTCTGTTAATGTTTTTACAAGCATTCTTAATTCCGCCAAGTCAGGCTCCTCATTTGGCAGTGGCGGTGGCAGGTGCTCATGTTGGAATCCTGAGTTACCACGAGTAACAGGCATTTTCTCTCTCCCTCCTAAAGGATACAAGATATAAATAATAAAATTAGCCTAGCTATATCATGGCCATACAATGAGAAGCACCATAACATGTATATTGCCAACCGACTATATGCTCTGATACCTATATGTAACACCCTCAAATTTACAAACCAATTTTTCGCAAGTTATTAATTCAAGAAATCATTTTTTTTTTCATTGAACCCTTATCATACCCTTATCATGGTAGAAAAATTTCTACCATGATACATCCAAGACAATATACCACAGGTCTTAAAATATCTCAAAAAGCAATTAGAACCATGAGGGACAGACATGATCCTCATAGCATGTTATTTAAATTAGGTCATGAATCAAAAGGGACAGACATAATCCTCTTGGACATATAATGCATTTAATAAAAAGGATTAGAGTTTACATGCTCCATAGACAAGATATGTCCTAAGTTGGCACAAGATACATTGTATAATCCAAAATAAGAGGCAACGTAAAAGATGGTGTCTCATACACCATAATTACACCTCTGGTGCTTCTTTCTCGGCCGGATTCGCTCCTGTAAAAATATTAACCACGGGGAATGAGACTTAAAAGTCTCAGTAACCAAAAATTAATATGTAATGATGCATGCGGATGTAACTAATCATGCGATTGCTAAGTGGGGCACCAAAACATTTAACCGAACAATATTTTCAAACAAACCGAACAAGTATTTAATTGCATGACTGCACCTTATATCCTCCTTTCACCATGCTCGGACGCCAAATCACCCGGCCAAAGGTGAGTTGGACCAAGCGACACGCCACTCATTGGGTCCAATGAGGGCTTACCACGTGGTAATAATTAACCGAACAGAAATTCCCATTAAACACCATACATTAAAATACCCTGACAAGTCATGCATCATTCAAATATCCAAACAGGAATATATCCGAACAATAAATCTCATCATGATAAACAAAAATAAATTTTTAACCCACTTGGCAATAATTTCAAACAAGTATATACAGTATTTATTTTCAATAATTCATAATTTTTCCAAACAACAAAACAACACATAACCATTCACAAACACACTCATCACAACACATTAATAATGGTTACCTTGTGTCTGAATAAACAAGTTCCCCTTCACAACTCCTTTTTCACCACTATCTTTGTCAATATAATCTACATAATTATTTCACAATACTATATATTAATTTTACATTAAATAAATAACTCTAATTTAAAGAGTTAGAAAGTCTTAAATCTATAGTCCATATTAACACTAATTTAAGATTTATGCCTTATTTAACTTCCCAAATTCTTTTCTAAAATTCTCGTACCCTAATGAACTATTTTTTTTTTATCCTCAATTCACTTCTAGTATCGCAATTTCATCCTTCTACATTCTAAAAATTCATCTAAAAATAAATTAAAAATTTTAGAATTATCCTGAAGCCTCAAATCACCTTTCTATAAACCTCAAAAATACCTATTCATACTTAAATAAATATTTAATAATCATAGATTTATCCCTACATCTCAGATTCCACATAAATTCAACCATATAGATCTAGATTTTAACTCAAAAATTCTTAAACATGAGTTTCAACCTTAAGAAAATATTCTATAATATTTACTATATCCCTAAGAATTTTAACCTATATTTTTAATCCATCATATCATCAGATTAACTATCCTATAGAAAAATCCTAATCAAAATATTTACTCTATCCTACAAAATAATCATATCACTAGAAAGCTAATATTATTTAGAAAATAACTATAAAATTAATTTTGTAATTAAATAAATTTTTAAATGCTAATCTAAACAGGAAAGTTAGAACATACCTGAAGAAAAAAAAAATAATCCCCCTTGCGAGAAAACGCCGAGCAACGTGAGAGGAAGAGAGAAAAATAATATAAAAATGGGATTGTGAGTCCCAAAATTATATTAAAAAAAACTATAGGTTTGAATTTAATTATTCAAACCTTTGGGCCCAAAGTTGCAATTTCTCTAAATTGCATCTTAGCCTCTCATGCTTCCTAATGCACACACCCCCTCCTTTTTATACATGAAGGCACCTCTTCTCTTCCCTCATCTAACCAATGTGGGACTTAGAAACAACAAACAACAACTTTCCCACCTGTGGTTATTCCTACTGCCTCTCCAGGGTCTTTTGGAACCTCCCCAGACTCGAACCTCCAACCTCTACCACCTTAATGAAGTTGAGGCGAAGTCTGGTACCATTGAACCAAGTGACTCAATGGTACCAGACTTCGCCTCAACTTCATTAAGGTGGTAGAGGTTGGAGGTTCGAGTCTGGGAGGTTCCAAAAGACCCTGGAGAGGCAGTGGTGAGGAATAACCACAGTACCACCTGTGGGAAAGTCGGCTTTGGTCCAGTGATGGGCCAGAGTCCATACCGAGTCGAGGCTCAAGGGGTGGCTCCGTGCTGTTACATAAAAGGCGCCTTTTATGTAACAGCCCTCCTGGGTCACCACTGCCACTCTCCGGGTCTTTTCCCAGGCGCTGGACAACACAATAAAAAAAAATTATTTATGTATTATATCTTAACTAAATATTGCTTATGTGATTTTAAATTTAAATTTTTAAATTCATAATTAAATACCTAATCATAATATTATTTCTAAATAACCTCAAATAATATAAATTCCTATTATTATCATTTTTTTTCTCAAAACCTAAATTCCACAATTTCTTTATTATATAAAAATCAGGATGTTACACCAACTCGTCATCTTATTCATATAATATTCAACTCATCATAATTTTATCAACCTAACAACAAAATAAATAAAGTTATAAGCACATCAACAAATTTAAAAACTTGATGATAATGAGCATTGATATTGCAAATAAAAAAATTTTAATGGACTTTGAACAATACAAAATATGAGAAATAATACTAAAACACTTAAAATTACAAGACTAACCATTGTATTTTAATTTCTCTTTACAACCTATGACAAGGGATTTTCTGGATTTATTGTGCACCCCAACTTTTTATGGATTTACTGTATGTTGCAGTAGGATTTTAGATCTGACTTTAAGGCATTTTTGTTGTCATTTATTTTTCTTAGGGGGAAATTCTCTAGTTGTTTTGAAATACATAATTTTATATTCTTAAAATATACACTTTTGTTGAAAGGAATTTTGCGTTAGGAAGTTTTGATCAATGTCATATTCATAAGTCATACCTGGAGAAAAATAATAAAAGGACAGAACATCATTGAGTAGCATATCATAACAACAATCAAGATGTATTGGATATCACATAAAATTTTTCTTATTTTTTGTGACTTCCTTTTCCTCTGCATTTTTTCGTAGTTAGTTCAATTTCAAAATTTTTAATGAAATAAGTTCTATGAAAAAGCTTACCAAGAAAAAAACTTCCATAAAAATATATAAGAATTTTAGTGAAATATATTATTTTTCTTAGATGATAGTAATAGTAACAATCTTTAACCAAAGTAAAGAAAAGCATGACCCCATTCTCATATGCTTATCTTTAAACAAAATTGTGAATCTTTCAAAAAAAAAAAAAGCAATTTTTTGGCTGCACTACTCTCTGGCTTGAAAGAGATTAATCTTTATTGAACTGAGAAAAAAGACTTTAGGTTAAAAAAAAACATTTGGAATAACGAAGAGAATTGTAATTAAAAAATTAAACATGGAATAAAATTCGAATTTCAAAAATAAAATCATTGGTGTGCATTGTTAAAAAGGACCAATATAATTCATTTCTTAAAAAATTAATATATATGTATATATTAAATCTTCATCTATGACGAGTCAACATGATCTATTTTATTTGGGTTTTGGATATGGTGCCCATAAATAACTTCCTAATTTAGGTTTATTATAAGCTTAACATTCCGGGATTTATTAATGCATTTGAAAACGAATCAACCAAAAAGATTAAGAAAAGGAAAAAAGCCCATGATAGTGCGGAAGAGCGCAAAGGCCAATGATTGGACCTAAAGACTTGAAAACATTTTGAAATCAGACATGCAGGCTGTCTGTCTGCACATTACCGTTATTAAGACAAACGTGGAAACAAAGCGTGTCTTTGCCGGTCTCTCTCACTCATCCAACGGTCACTAAACCACTAGCCGTTGAGTTCGACGCGTCCCCAGACAAATATTTTACCCGTAAGAATGCTCTCTTCAGTACTACTTTCTCTCAATCGTACTGCTCAGTTCTATCTTCTGGGGTTTGTGGGTTTCTGAGACTATCAACCAAAATGGTGATTTCTCATGAGAACAATGCTGATGCCATCAAACCCCCAAGCTTGCAAGGTGAATTTTTCTTGTCTGGGTTTGAATCAATTAACGCAGCTGGATCGGAAAGCTTGAAGATTGAAGTGCTTAGCTTGTTTTCTGATCTGTTTGGGATTTAATATTACAGGAGGTGTGGTCGTGGAGAATAGGAGGGCATTGAGCGTCATCAATCAGAACCATTGCGTAGTTAACAAGAATGAATTCACAATGTAATTTTCTCGGATTTTGTTATCTGGAAGATTATTAAGTGATTCAAATCTCTCCTTTGTTAATTTCTTCTTGTCTGGCTTTGCTTTTGACGTTAAATCTCTGTTCACCCAGACAACGGGAGATTGTTGAAAAGAAGATCGGCGATCCAGTGCATCGACCAATTACGAGGTTAGCCGTTCTCTCTCTCCCCTTTCCCGAGAATCAGATTAGTGAAACCGAAATGAGTAATATGTTATCTAGTATCATGGCCCAGCCCCATCACTAATCTGAGACAGAAGATGAAAACAGTGAGGATTCAAGAGGGAACTAGTGGATGAACATAGTGTAGCTTATTATGTTGTTGCATGTCCAAGTGAGAGGAGGAAAAAAAAAAAAGCTTTCTTCATGAGAGCTTCGTCCTCATCAATGGCGTCTGAGGAAGAAGTCGGAAGGAAAAAGGAAATATATGGTGGGGTCCAGTTACAAGCATGTTCACAAATGGTCATATATACTAGAAGGTTGAATAAGGGTCATTTGTTTTTTTTTTTTAATTACAATAGACATATTTTTATTTTTTATATAATTTATTCACTTTTTTAATCTAAATGTGTTTAAATAATGTTTTTGAATATGTGATGCACTAATTTATTTTTGAATGAGTAATTGTATCCCTTGTTTATGTTAAAATATGATTTGAAAGTTCTAAAGCTATGATGATGTCATGATATGATAACTTTGAAAAATACTAGAGGAATAATATTCTTCATCTAAATTTGTGAATCTTATTTTCTATCAGATAATATATTTGGTTTTTATATATACAAATTTATATAATTTTATTATTTAATTTTATATGATATAGTTTTTTGGCTTAAAATTATGTTAAAAACTTTTAGTCATTGAAATTATTTGATAGGATAGGCATATACATACATAATGCATACACTTTTGATTAGGATGTTTGATTCACTATGACAAAATTCAATCTACTGAAAAAACAAATTGAAGTCAATGGCTTGATATAAATATTCAATTTTTTTTTCAAAATTTGAAAATTACGTTGCGCCGATAAGTCAAACAAGAAAAAAAAAATGTAACTCTTATAAATACATGTATGGTTGGTTTTTTTTCCCCATCTCAGTCTTTTACAAAAGACGTGCGTATTTAGTTGAAATAAAGAAATATGGTTTTAACTTATTTTAAGCATTTTATAAAAAAAATTGATATGATAATTCTTTTTCAGGTTTGATATCATTTAGGACTGAATTTTTTAAATAATTTTTTCATGTATTTATAACTTATAATTAATTAATTAGCATATAAATGATGTTGCATGCGGTGCCATATGTTATGAACATTAATTATTTCTTATTTTTAGTAAAGATTAATAATGAAACATCTTGATTTACTCTTTTTCAGGACATTTGCTGCACAAATTGCTCCCACAAAGCAGCCTCTTGTTGAGGTACTCTCTCTCTCTCTCTCTCTCTCTCTCTCTCTGGGTATTTGTGCCTTTAAAATTTGATCTTTTTTCTTTTGATTAAACCAAAAGGGCTCTAAAATGATGATGATAATTGCCGGGTTGGATTTGAATAGGAAAACAAGAAGTTGAATGGATCAAGTTTAAACTCAAATGGATTTGGAGAATGTATTTTTGTGGATGAAGTACATAAGTCAGTGAAGGACCATCCAGTGGCCATGTCTGTAGAACAATCTGAAGAAGTAATGCAGACAGAAACGGATCAGATGGTATATGTCTTTCTCACTTTGTTTCCTTTAAATTTAGCTCAGTAATCATTAATTAACTATATTGTTCTTAAACATGCTAGAAGGAAGTTGAGATGGAGGATATAATTGAAGATCCTATCATCGACATTGATAGTAGTGATGTGAACAACCATCTTGCAGTTGTGGAGTACATTCAAGAACTTTATTCTTACTACAGAAAAATGGAGGTAAAGCAATAGTCAGTTAACTTTTCTAAACATGAGAAATTCTCAAGTTCTTAAAGCCGATCATGAAGAGATCCTCCAATCATAATTTGATTGGATCTGCATAGTTATTAAGCCTAATTATGTCTTTCCCACTTTGGGTCTGCAAGTTGCATGAAACTTACACAGGGCTTGGATTTGGAAATATCGGCTATGTAAACATCATGTCTTTGCATGAGAACTGTCTTCACTTGAGCTTGTTTTTGAGCATGAATTAGTGTTAAATACCAATCAAATTATGAATGTGACTTGGCATAAAAATATCGTTAGGCCTTTAATACATGGATAGAATTTCAGAAATAACTCAAACATGTTTATACAAGACTTGCTGTAAACTTCACAATTTTTATTGATTGATGGTGATGATTTATATCAAGTGCAATTAATTTCTTTGTTTTTTTTTTCCTCTAACAACTAACACAATGAAGCTACATGCAGAGTACTAGCTGCGTCTCACCAAATTATATGCTACAACAATTTGACATTAATGAAAGGATGAGAGCTATACTAATTGACTGGCTCATTGAGGTATATGACTTGAATATTCCTCACTGACTAATAATAGTAGTTGGCTTTCTGGTTGAAATGTAGTTGCCATTAGATTAAATACTCATATATTTTTGTTTGGAATTGAACCTTCAGGTGCAAGACAAGTTTGATCTCATGCATGAGACTTTGTTCCTTACAGTGAACCTGATAGATAGGTTTTTGGAAAAGCAATCAGTGGTAAGGAATAGGCTTCAGTTAGTGGGTTTGGTGGCCATGCTTTTGGCATGCAAGTATGAGGAAGTTTCAGTTCCTGTAGTGGAGGATCTTATACTTATATCAGACAAAGCATATACAAGGAAAGAAGTTCTAGAAATGGTAATATTTCTTTTTACTTAATGAAATTGTTTGACGTTTTTTTTTCCCGTTTGTTGAAGCATAAGAAGCTAAGGCTGTCCTTTCTCTAACGATGCAGGAGAAGTTGATGCTTAACACTTTGCAATTTAACATGACAGTGCCCACACCGTATGTGTTCATGAGAAGGTTTCTAAAGGCTGCTCAAGCAGATAGAAAAGTTAGTACACATCATTCTTTTCAATAAAATTTAATAACCATTTTTTAAACGTTGAGGTTTTTTAAATTAGGCTTGTTGAAGTTGGAAGAGTCATCCTACTATTTTATGGGATTTTGAGAAAAAGCATATCAGTATCTTAAAAAAAAAAAATCATATGGCGTGGGGAGAAGTTCAATATTGAATAAAGTTGATTTGGAAAGAAAGTGTACTCAAAAGATTCACATTTGAGGAGGAGATTGTTGGGATGCTAGACCTCTAATTATAACTGGGGTCAATAATGAACTCATACTTGGTGGAAATATTGTTGAAAAATTAGGCCTCTTGTTATAATTGGGAGTCAATAGTGTACTCACATATGGTAAGGAGATTGCTGGATTTCAGATCTTTGGTTATGACAGGGGGTCAATAGTGAACTCATACTTGATGTAGAGATTGTTGGAATGTTAAGTCTTCTCTAAATGAAAGGTATATAAGCAAAAGGTTTATGAAGACGTGGTACCCAACCTACTTATATTTATTATCCTCCTCTATCTCTTGGCCAAGTTTTATTTTCCCCCCTATTTATGATTCTTTTCAAGCCTAAGAAATAAAATCTACCTATGAGTTACTCCATGGACAGGTTAAAGTATACATATGCCTAGGGCTATAGGTTTTTGACTTATATATATATGCCTTTGCTTCTGCTCAACTTCATTTAATGTAGGATTCTTTTCACTTGAATCCCAACCGAATTAAACTAAAGATGAATTTACCAAATTTTCTAGTCAAATGAGCTAGTGCAATCCAATTTTCCAAGCAGTGGGATTCTGCACCAATAGCAGCTGCTTTGTACTAAAGTCTTTGCTTGCAATTTTCACTGTGGAGCAGATGGAGTTGCTTGCTTTCTTCTTGATAGAGCTATCTTTAGTGGAGTATGGCATGTTGAACTTCCCGCCATCTTTGCTAGCTGCAGCTGCAGTTTTTACAGCTCAATGCTGCATATGTGGTTTCAAGCAATGGAGCAAGACATGCGAATGGCACACGAACTACTCAGAAGATCAACTACTGTAAGTAACATCCACAAGAGATATCAACTTTAATTTGCTTGAAATGACCGGAACTTGTGTTAGTTTTGTTGTTTTGCTTGAGCTTTTGAGTTAAAATTGGTCTTTATTATGTCTACGCTGAAATAACCCCTAACTTGCAGGGAATGCTCTAAATTGATGGTTGATTTGCACCAAAAGGCTGAAAAGGGAAAACTTACTGCTGTACATAGGAAGTATTGCACGTCTAAATTCAACTATTCTTCAAAATGTGAACCAGCGAGCTTCCTTGTGGTGAACCAATTGTAGCAAGGCCATGTATAGAAGAACTAACAAACCACATACATGACTTTTATAATTGGTATAAGCAAATGGGGTTCTCTCAATTACTTCAAAATTGACAGTGTCAATCTTAGAGACGAATAGACAGTGAACTTGAAACCCTTTTTACGCATTCAAGAGAGAAATTATTTCGTCACTTGAGTGTAAGACCTTACATGCTCTTTCCATTTCTTTTTGACTCATCAATTTCAAAGAGGAATCAAGAAGATTCAAATGAGATTGGGTTAAAAATGCATGCATAACAGCAACTTGGGTTGCGTTGGTGGTCCTTTGTATTTTCATTTTTCTAATTGAGCACAACTTCTAATTTGAAGATTGTATTTTCTCTTGTTCCCATTGAATAAAATAATGGAAATGATAGAACAATCTCATTTGTTCAAGTAGTTTTTACGTGCTTTACCATTTTGTCTTTACATAGCTTTTTGAGTTGTATAATCACTCTTGTTATGTTAAAAGCTTACTAGAGACAAACATATTTGCCAAGCATCCCCCCAAAAAAAAGGGCAAACTAAGAATGACATAAAAAGCAGATAATTTGTCAGATTATCATAAATAAAGATGAAAAATCGAGCTTTAGAGCTTGAACTCTTAAGAGTAGGACCCGCCCGATTTTCTAATTTTTAATCTAATCCTGAAGCTTAATCTTTATTCAAAAGGCTTTGCCTTATAATATAAAGCAAATCAAGGTTTTACATCGAACAAAGATTTAAAAGTTTACATTTAAGATGAAAATCAAAATTTTCATCAATCTAAATTTAAATCCTCCTCATCATCATTTAAAAATAAAATATTAGATCTCCCAGATATAAGTCCATCTACTGCAGATGGAGGTGGAGGTTTAATGTTAATTATTTTTGCAACTTCTTTTTCATCACTTATAATAAATGTTAACTAAATTGTGTCATTATCATATATATATATATATATATATATCAAAAGACAAAATATGAAAATTGCCATAAAATGGCACAAAATTAATTAACCACATGTACAAATTAATGCTTGCATATTATATAAAAGGAGTAAAGAATGATACTTTGTTAGAATACGGGAGCCTATGCTAAAAGCATGTTCACTAACTAATGTAGTGATTGAAATACTTCAAATATCATATGTCATGCTTGAAAGATTGACAAATCATTAGTCTTTTTTTCTAATACAACATGTCTAATTCTAGAAACCAGTGACCACTAAGAAAAGTTTTTTTTAAAATAATAATCTAATTCAAATTTTTCAATGGAAGAAATATCCCTACTTTTGAAATTAAAAAAATCTTACATCTAAAAACTCTCTAATCTAATTATACGGTAATTTTTTTATTTTTTTTAATTGAACAAGGCTTGGAGAGCTGTTTGGGACACAAGCTCTTTTTTTTAGAGCTTATAAGAGCTAAGGCTCAAAATCTGATTTCCTTAAAAATTATCTATTTTTTAAGTTTGAATCGTTATTTAAACAGGGTCTTTAGGCTCAACTTTTAAACCCAATTCTTATTCTCGACTTTAATTATTAGCTTCTTCTTCTTCTTTTTTTATTTGGCTAACAACATAACATAAGCTTCAATTTTATTAAAATCCTTACAATTTTACACCTGGTATATTTGCTAAGCTTCCATATGTGACTGTGTTAAGCCGAATTCCTCTTATCAATTTTTTGCATTACAATACCTCAGGACTCCTACATATGTTGTGTCCTCGTGCCCCTTTCCTGCACTCACATCAGCAGGTTTTTGTTTCTTTTTCTTTAGTTGTGTTTTTTTTTCCCCCCAAAACCCACATACCCATGTGAGTACAAGAAGGAGACTAAGAGGGAGGTAACAGAATGGAAACCCAAACCTTGAGGCTCTCTCCATCCCCATTATTGTAATTGTTATTATTATTTTGAGTGTAGGTGTGAATTTCATTCAGAAAGAACTGTACAACACAAAAGGCCTGGTGTGCCAAAAAAGATAACCAGGAAACAATCAAAAGGAGGCTGTAAAGAGCGACACGAAAGGCCTATGTATTACAAAAATCAGCAGCTTTAATGGTATGATTGGTAATGGCAATAACACAAAGCTATGAGGATGAGAGAAAATCATCCTGAGATTCCCATAACTTGCAGCACATTATCCCAAAAGTAATTCTCCACGTGAGAATGTGAATTAAGTTGAAAGCTAGGGATCCAATCAGCAAAAGGCAAGTCAAATGATCAGGAAGGATCATTTGCCAGCTGACTCGACTTAATTACAATGTGGTTCAGATCTTCAGCTTCTTTTTAGCAGACCTGCATCATTTGTCTGATGACCTTTTGTTTCTGCTCAGCACATTGACAAGTCTAGATAAGGTAGCCAAGGCTCGTCTTTTGTTTTGGTGGCAAATTTATTTTATCAAAAAAAAAAAAGAAAGAAAAAGTCTTCAACATCTTCAGCTCAGATTGGAAGCATTCAATGCGTCGACAATCCTTTGGGACCGTTTTTTTTTTTTTTTTTTTGCAGATTCCATGTAATAATAAACTAACGCCTACTCTCTCCGTTTTTATATATATAAAAAAATTATATTACATAATTTAAAAAAATTAATTAACCATAATAATTATATTTAAAAATAAAAAAATTAAATTAAAATACTTTATATTAATCAACATAAACATGCATTAATTATTTTTTATTAATATAAATTATGAGAGGTGATTTAAAAAATATGTAATAAATATTTATTGAAATATGTAATTTTGCTCATATAAAAAAATAAATAAATAATAATAATTTTTTTTATAAATAAAAACAGAGTAATATAATATTATTACTAGTAATACACTGCATATATTGATATTATGGTATGAATCTCATAGGTGGAGAATTCAAATTCCATACTACAACCTTTTCCACTCTTTACGTAGATGATTGCATCAAGTCAGTTAGTTAATAAAGCTAAATGTTTGACGTTTGTCGTTGGAATTTGAAATATTTATGATGGACTGACTTATTATATACCATGATTTAATAACTAGTAATTAAATTAAACTAAATTAACATTAGCTATTGTTTTAATTAATTCAGATGCTTTTTTTACCATATCATAAAATCTTCTTCCTTATGGGAGAACACATGCAAAGAAAAAGAGGGAGAGAGAGAGAGAGAGAGAGAGAGAGAGAGAGAGAGAGAGAGAGAGTTCTCATTCGTGCGAAAATCATCATATATATGGTCGATCTGCTTTGTTTTGTAATTTATCTATTATTATTAATTATTAATAATAGAGTTTGTCTTTATTCACTCAAGCCCTCTTCCAGTGCACTCCAAGTAAGAATGTAATCATTTAAACTAAATACCTACCGTCCTTCTTCTTTTTTTGAAAAAAAAAAAGAAAACTAAATTAGAAAGAAACAGTAAACAAAGCAAAAGTTTTGTGAGTGAGATCTAGAATTGAAATGACAAGAACGATTAATTATAAGATTATTTTTTGGTTTTTTTTTTTTTTGAAGCAATGCAAAGGGAAGTGGGATTTGGTTTCTAAGGCTTAGGAACCAACAGAAGGCGATTTGACGGCGGCAGGTCGTTTTTCGTTCACCCGGGTGCGCCCACCACTTCGAAGTTAATTTAGGCCATGTCTGGCTTCCAAATACTATAGTCATATAATTTAATAAATATATTTGAAAAGTATAATATAAAATCCAAATTAAGATGGCAAATAATTAGTAGTCATTTAATAATCCACCATAATTTTATGTTTTGTATTAAGTTATGATATATTAAATATATTTAAAATAGATCAACTATACATGATTTATCATTGAAACAATCACATTCATGTACACAACCCCAACTCCTTATAGAACCTACAATGTTTTTATTTATGGGGGATATGAGATGTTATTCAACTAAGAGACTCCAGGCACACATGTTATACTATATTTTAGGATGTATTTGAATTTTAGTTAGGTATAATTAATTATAAAAAATTAATTAATTTTAATTATATTTGATTATATTAATGATATTGTGATCAATTTTGGATATTATTTTTTAAAAATTAATTTTGATATAATTAAAAACGTTTGAATAATTTATGTACTGTCTGTGAGGTTTTTTTTAAAGATAGAATAGTATGGAATGTCTTGGTTAGAAATCTTATACAATTATTTGGGAGAATTTTTAAAAAGAGAGTGGAATGATTTGAGGTAACCTTTCAAGCCATCCTTTACCATCATAAACTTTTTTTTTTTTTCTTAATCTTTCAATTTGAAGAGTCAAAGATAGAATAATATAATGTAAATAATATTATTACAAAATTGCTTTCATCCTTTTTACTTCCTCTCACTCCTCTCACCTTAAGAGTACAAAATATAATTATATCTAATTCAATATATTGATTTTATAATTATTCATAAATAATAATCAAATAAAATAATTTATTTCTTTAATAAAACTTCTAAACAATGAATTGTTCCTTTTCATTTTATCTTATACTCTTAAATATATCTTTAATCAAAATTAATTTTAAATATGTAAATTATTATGAAGAACATTACTTTTAACAATTAAAATACTGATAAAATTGTACATAATATTAATTATTTACCATAAAGGACATCGCATATTGGAGGAGAACAGCATAACGAAGATGACGCTATGAAAAGAGTACGCTGAATAGTCGTACTTAAGTTGAGGGTATATTGGGTAAGTTCCTACATTTGGGAAGGTGAAAATTTCTTGTAAGTAATAGTAAAAATTGAAATTAAAAAGCTACTTTTCCTAATTTGTTCCAAAGCACAGTTAACACTTAACACCCAAATAATTAATTAGGGGCAAAATGAAGTGGTTGGGTATTTTTTTTATCCTAACCATGGCTTTCCTAGCAATAATGAATTAAATGGGGAAATACAAACAGTCACTTGGATTGTACAATTTTAAAAAAATATTTTATGGCTGGATCTTCAAACGCCCGAGTTGCCCACTTGCCAAACCTTTGCACTGCAAACTTGCAAAGCGCACGCTTCCTCTCACCAACCCCATGATTTGCCGGTAATATGGGCATGTGGCTTGCTATGAAATTTAAAATAAATAAATAAATACATTTTGCCTTTCAAAAAATTACATAATATATTAGGTTAGCATTTTCAAATTATATAATCTCTCCTATCCCATTTATAAAATATATTTTAAAAAATTTATTTAATTTTATTTATAAATTATGATGCAACTCTTTAAATAATATTTAAAAAATATTTTTAAAATTATCTTTTATAAAAGAAAAAAATAACATAATATTATTTTTTAAAATTTATATATAGAAGTATATTTAAAATTTTACACATTCTTAATTTTTATATTTTTTTATATTAATATTAATAAAATTAATAAAAATAATTTATAAAAAAAAATCGGAGTATATGTTTTAAAGGCAATTTCTGTTTCTTTCACTTTTTTTCCCCAATGCGGTCACCCTAGAAAGTAGAAACCCTGATGCACAGATTCACGGACTTTAGTCTTCCACTCTCACACCCTCACTTGTATAAATATGGCCCTCTTGATTCAGATCTTCGCCCCAACGTTTCCGATTCATAAATCAAATTTCTCAGAAATTTCTCTCTCGATCTGTCTCTCTCTCTTATTCCCAGATCGCCATCACCATGCCAATGGCCGCTCTCTCTCACACTCATGTTCTTCAGAATCCTAATCACCACATCAACAACTTCGCCACCAACAACAATCTTTCCCTCGTCACCTCCATACGCCTCGCCGCCTCCGTCAGACCAATCTCTATCAAATGCGCCGCCGTGTCGTCCACCACCCAGACTAGCGACCGTCCGCCAGCTCCGACCTCATCCCAGGATCGTGTCTTCAACTTCGCCGCTGGACCCGCCACCTTGCCGGAGACCGTGCTCAAGAAGGCGGAGTCGGAGCTCTACATATGGCGCGATTCAGGCATGAGCGTGATGGAAATGAGCCACAGGGGCAAGGATTTCCTCTCTATAATCCAGAAGGCGGAATCAGATCTACGCGCCCTTTTAGATATTCCGCCGGAATATCATGTTCTGTTCTTGCAGGGCGGCGCCACCACACAATTTGCCGCCGTGCCGTTGAACCTCTGCAAGTCGGATGATCAGGTTGATTACGTAGTCACTGGATCGTGGGGAGACAAAGCATTCAAGGAGGCTCAGAAATTCTGTAAACCCAATGTAATCTGGTCTGGTAAATCCGAGAAGTACACCAAAATTCCATGCTTCTCCGAATTAGATCAACTTCAGAATCCGCACGCAAGGTATTTGCATATATGTGCAAACGAGACCATTCATGGTGTTGAGTTCAAGGATTACCCAACCCCAAAGAATCCGAATGGTGTTTTGGTCGCTGATATGTCTTCAAATTTCTGTTCCAAACCTGTGGATGTCTCTCGATTTGGTGTGATCTATGCTGGGGCTCAGAAAAACGTTGGGCCATCTGGGGTGACGATTGTGATCATCAGAAAAGATTTGATCGGAAATGCTCAGGATATCACTCCGGTGATGCTTGATTACAAGACACAGGTTGAGAACAGCTCGCTGTACAATACTCCACCTTGTTATGGAATTTACATGTGTGGTTTGGTGTTTGAGGATCTGTTGGGGCAAGGAGGTTTGAAAGAGGTGGAGAAGAAGAACAAGAAGAAGGCTGAGATTTTGTACAATGCCATTGATGAAAGCAGTGGGTTTTACAGATGCCCAGTTGAAAAATCTGTGAGGTCGTTGATGAATGTTCCATTTACACTGGAGAAATCAGAGTTAGAAGGTGAGTTCATCAAGGAAGCAGCCATTCAGAAGATGGTTCAGCTCAAGGGACATAGGTCGGTGGGTGGGATGCGAGCTTCTATATACAACGCAATGCCTTTGGCTGGAGTTGAGAAGCTGGTGGTTTTCATGAAGGAATTTCAAAGCAGGCATGCCTGAAGCAAGTGATAGTATCTCCCTAAGAATCATGTCTTTGGGAATTTTTGGCTTCTTTGAGCAGGTTTTTTACTTTTTAGTTTAGTCCTTTATTGCTGAGATTGGGATTGGTATGCCGCCAGACCATAGCTTAAGTGATAAGAGTAACATGGGCGGGTTGTCAATAATGTTATGTTTAATGGCTAGAGATGTAAAAATAAAGAAAATGGGCTTGGCATCTTACCACTTTCTGAGACGATTTCAACTCAGTCATGAAGGAAAAGTGTGCAAGTTCGCTTGTTAATTTAGTTTGTTGTGATGTTTAAGTGTGGGCAGAGTTTAGTTAACGTGGAAGTGAAAGCATCGCTTGAAATAAAATTAAATTTAATATATAAATTTAAATTTTAAAGTTTTGAGTTATTCCTAAAAAACTGGCAAGTTGTATTGCTTACATCTCGTGGTTGTTTAGGGATTTTTATAGATAGCATAATATTTAGGGTTTTTTGTAACCAACAAATGAATGAGACTTCAGTTTTTATTTGCCGACAATAAGTGGTAAAAATGACTAAATAAATTTATTTTCATGCCATTGTTTTTAGTTAAGTAAGTTAACAATTTTAAATGAGAATAAATAGTTTAAGATATTTTCAAAATTTAATAACAAAAAATAGATGTAATAAAATTTAAATTTAATGTAAAATTAAAGTATTGAAAATGGAATTTTATCAAAATCAAATTGCATGTAAATATAAATATATGTTTTGAATAAGATAAATTTTATATTTTTTATTTTCCTTATTTTTGGGTGGGACGTGGGAAACGTATTTTTTACCTGATTTTTTAAGATATTCCTACTACTTCTAGTCATGAGATTAATTTCTCAAAAAATTTGAACTCTATTTATTTAAGGCGTTATTCCAATTAATGCTCTCCAAACGCACTTCTAAAAATCAAATTTTGGAATAATGTTTGAGAGGTCCGGACTTCTATCATTTGTGTCATAGCACTTCTTTTTTTTGGTTTTTAAACAAGATTCAATAGGGCCTTGCAATGACTTACTGGGCCCAATAAAAATAGCCCAATCCAGGCAAAGACGGGGATGGTTGGGAACCCAACCCGAAAATAGATCCACGTTCTTCGGCTCGTCCCTCCTGCTCCTGGATGGTCTCTCCTAATCATTGAAGAATTTAAAATAAAGATTAAAAATTAAGAAATTTAAAAAATTTATTTAGTGTAGATCTCATCACAATAACTCCTACAACGAGAATCTAATACCAACCATGTTATTATTGCCATTGACTTGTGTTTCTGAGGCTGCGTGAACAGACATGAAACGCTCCATTTGATTTAAACAAGGCTGCGTGCATCCCTTGCCGATGTATTCACTGCTTTCATTTTTATCTCTCTCCCTCTCTCTCTCCAATTTGGCCCGAGTCCTTATATGGATGAGATGTTAGGCAGTTTATACTTTTACTTTGTTGGACCAATGGAGAATCTTCAATTCAATAAAAAAAAAAAAACCACGGCAAAATACCAGGTTCTGCATTACAGTAAAGGAAAAGAAACAAAACTAAAACAGCAAAACGCAAATCGCAAACGAAAAAACAAAACAAAGAAGTTCTCTTAACCAATTCCTAATCGGCAGCACAATTCCTTTCTCTAGGCATGAAAGAGAAGAGGGATGCAAAACTTAAAGATTCCGCTGTGGAAAGCTTTGACACACCCAATCACAAAATGTATACTCTTTCACAGTAAGGGCTTTGAATAGAATCAAACAATCAGTCTCCATAATTACCTGAAAATAATTGAAGCTTTTTGCAATTTCCAAAGCTTTGCTGACAGCAAACATCTCGGCCATGAAACTTGATCCCGCAGAGGGTCGCTCCATCCATCCCCTGCGCAAACTTTCCGTCATCGTCGCTGCATAAAATTCCCAAACTAGCCACAGAAGAATATTTACAAAAAGCCGCGTCACAATTTATTTTGATACGTCCAAATGGCGGTGGCTTCCAACTAGATATTACATCCGTTTTGGTACTTTCACATGTATCTATACAATTTAAAAGTTTAGCACATCTTTAATTTGATCGTTGCCTTTCAATTTAAACGCAAAATTCAGAATCATCAAATCATATTTCATATAATTGTTATATAAATTTTATATCATCACATCAACCGATCAGCATGTCGCATGATTGATGAGATACTCATTATATTTTGTGCAAGAATTAAATTAAACATTTTTATAATTATAACATTTTCAACCCTTAGATACGTTGACCAACAGAATAATTTAAAAGGAGAATCACACTTAACGCCCTCGAATAAAAAAAAATATGCACCAAAAATTTAATATACATTCTAAATTGATTCTGCTGGTAAAAAGATTCATTTGCCCTTTATTTGAATATATAAGTTTTTTAAATTTTTGTACAACAAAATGTGTATATATACTATAACAAAGTTCATATATTAACAATTTAATGTCTATTTCTTATACATAATTCATGTGATTTAATTGACAAATAATATATAATGTTTGTTGTTGCTGTTGTATTAATAATGTATGAACAATAAAATATTCATATGTAACATGACAAGTTTTATATATTAACAACACAATATTTATTTATTATATATAATTCACACTCCACACATGATATTATTTTTTCAAACGAGAGGCAAATGAGACTTTTCATCAAAAAACATGTTCACGTATAAGGCTTTTGGGCCTTGCAAAATTAATTCAAAATGAATTAAACTTTATGTACAAAATTCTTTGATCGGGAAGCCTTAAGTACTCTCCCTAATTTTTAAATTGAGTATACATTAAATTAATTTATAAAAAAAGTAAAAACAAGCCCATGATTTATATTCTCTCTTTCATTTTTTTTTATTGCTCATACATGTTTTTATTTTAGAGACAATTATGTTTTAAATAGTTGGACATTAAATGCAGATATTTCTCCAAATAAGAATTCAAACATTAATTTGTTTAATTGTGAGAAATTAGTCCCTTTTACTAGACTCAATATATATTAGTTATTTTCTCTCTCTTTCTTCTTTCTTCACCTTTTGTTAATTTTTTTTTTAAATACTCACCCTCCAATCCAAAATGCAAGCATTTTTTTTTAACTAGCTTTGGTTCAAAATATAAGCAACAAAGTATATGTTAAAAAAAAATTACTAGTTTACCCCTTACATTTATTAATCTAGATATTTGTGTAAGTGTGTCTCTCACTTGTTATTAAGTACTTTGGTAATTTAAATTAAGGGTAAAAAGAAAAAATAATACTTCTTCCGTTTAAAAATATAAGGCATTTTTTGAGAATTTGAATATTCAAAAATGTATGGTATTTTTAGTTTTTTGAGGTGTAATCATTGTTTTTTTTTATAAAAATGCCTCTATTGATGATGACTTTATATTTATTGTAGAGTATTTAATAGGGATAAATATGAAAAGATAGGATTAGTTAAAAAATAGATAACTACTTTATTGAAAGGTGAGATTTAGTTAAAAATATTCTATATTTTTAAATGAAGGGAGTATATATTTTTATAAAAATGAAGACTTTATTTATATGCAAATTTTTCTTAAAAACTGCTTATATTTTAAATCAGAGGAAGTAAAACAAGAGTAATTAACATGATACACATATATGGTGCTAAATGATGTTTCATTGGAAAAAATGTCAAATAGTGAAACCTAGTTTGTAACTTTGTATGTTTGTTTAAGGAAGAATGATTATTAAGCCTCGAAAGAAGAAATTAATGATAATCAAGTCTTTAAAATTAAAAAAAGTTAAAAATATCAATTTAAACAGTTACAAATTTAAAAATTCAATTGCAAATACAATTTTTAAATTATAAATATAACAATTAATTTACATTTCAATTGATATTTATAATTTATTTTATAAAAAATTCTATCAAGAACTTTACAGTCATTAATTCATATTTTTGAGGTTTTATTGTTATTTTCCCTTTGTATAAACATCTTTTTATGAAAAATTACATATTTTTTAAAACATTGTTTTTTTAAAAATTATAATGTTTGTTTAAATTTTTGAAATTAATCCAAGTCTAAAAAAATTCTTTGATCTGGAAGCCTTAAGTATTCTCCTTAATTTTTAAATTGAATATACATTAAATCAATCTGTAAAATAAAAAGTAAAAACAGGCCCATATTTTCTATTCTCTCTTTCTTTTTTCATTGCTTATAAATATTTTTCGATAATTATGTTTTGGACATTAAATGTTAATACTTTTTTAAACAAGAATTCAAACATTCATTTGTAAAATTTTGAGAAACTAGCTTCTTTTATGGAACTCAACCTATATTATTTATTTTCTTAGGCTCGAAAAAAAAACATATATTAGTTATTTTCTTTTTCTCTTCCTTCCTTTTCTCCTTTCGTTACCTTTTTTTATAAATAAAACAGGAATAATCAACATGGTGCTAAATAATGTTTCACCAAAAAAATGTTAAATAATGAAACCTAGTTTTTATTTTTATTTAAGGAAGATTGGCAATTAAGTATCAAAAGAAGAAATTAATGACTATTAAATTTTTGACAATTTTTTTAAAAATTAGTTACAAATATTGATTTAACAATTACAAATTTAAATTTTTTAATTATAAATATAACAATTAATTTGTAATTCAAATTCCAATTTATACATGTTTAAAATTGTATTTACAATTTATTTTACAAAAAATTTTTATCAAAAACTTTACTATCATTAATTTATCCTTTTAAATTTTACTATCATTCTCCCTCTATTTAAACATTTTTTTATGAAAAATTATATTTTTTAAAAAAAATTGTTTTGTAAAAAATTGTAATATTTGTTTAAATTTTTGAAAGTAATCCGAATTTAATTTTTTTATTATTTTGAAAATTTATTTTAAATATTTTTTAAATAATATAATATGTAGGTAAGATTATCATTAAAAAGCAAGGATGGATGGAAATATTACATAATTTTAAATTTTTTAAATAATAAATTATTTTTTCATAAATGAAGATATTTAAAAATATAATAAAATTTTAAGATAATTAAACAATAATTATTTTTTTTATCGCTGTATCAAAGATAAAATAATATTTGCCTTTGATTTATTGCTGTATCAACTATCAAAGATAAAATCACTTTTTTTAATCTGAGATAAACGGCCCCCAAGTCTTCAACGCTGTAAATAAAAGCCCTTTACTTTTCAAAGAATCTAATTTTGCCTGCGGCTCTCACCGGTATTTCTGTAGCAATTTTCATGGCTCCTCGGTCTTCTTCCCAGCAAATCTGAATCTTCATTCTTCATAACCCTAGCATACGTGCCGATAACTGCTCCAAAAATGGCGAGAAGATCAGTGTCACTTCTTAGACAGCTTTTCGATGGATCACAATCATCGAACACTCCCAACATCTTCTCATCATGCTCCCGATTTATTCCTTCCCGATCCGTGACTTACATGCCCCGACCTGGGGATGGGACTCCACGCGCCGTGACCCTTATTCCCGGCGATGGAATTGGACCACTCGTTACAGGCGCTGTTGAGCAAGTGATGGAGGCGATGCACGCGCCTGTGTACTTCGAAAAGTATGAAGTGCACGGTGACATGCCGAGAGTGCCGCAGGAGGTGATCGATTCGATAAAGAAGAACAAGGTTTGCTTGAAGGGTGGATTGGCTACACCCATGGGTGGTGGTGTGAGCTCGTTGAACGTGCAGCTAAGGAAAGAGCTTGATCTGTATGCTTCGCTCGTGAATTGCTTTAATCTTCCTGGCTTGCCAACGAGGCACGAGAATGTTGATATTGTCGTGATTAGGGAGAATACGGAGGGAGAGTATTCTGGCCTGGAACATGAGGTCGTTCCTGGAGTCGTTGAAAGCCTCAAGGTATATGATAAATTAGGTTGCTATTCTCTGCTGAACTTTCTGAATGGTAGAACAATTGATGATCAACTTACGTTTTTCTCTCTGGCTAGCTCTGTTATCGGTGGGATGCATTTTCCTCTGGTGAATTCAATTGTATCAAGATACAGGTCACTGTTTGTTGAACTAATAGCTCTTTCATTCTAACGTGCTTTTTTTGGACAAGTTGAAATTTATTGGTTAAAATTATTACATACATATTAATTAGAGAAGATGAGATGAGATATAAGATCCGATAGGGAGTCGCATCTGATTTTTCATGAATATGGCAGATGATTCTGCTTTAAATTGTAATCCATGCTGGGTGAGTAATTGATTCATTTTCCCACGTAATTGTGGATTTTTTCGTATAATGTATAACATATATGTAACATAAAGTTGGGACTCTCATACCAGTCTTTTGCTAGGTAATCACAAAGTTCTGCTCAGAGCGTATTGCTAAATATGCCTTTGAGTACGCTTACCTAAACAACAGAAAAAAAGTGACTGCGGTGCACAAAGCAAATATTATGAAGCTGGCAGATGGTTTATTTTTGGAATCTTGTCGAGAAGTTGCCACAAAGTACCCTGGAATTAAGTATAATGAAATTATTGTGGATAATTGCTGCATGCAGCTTGTTTCAAAGCCTGAGCAGTTTGATGTCATGGTATGTGAATCTGCTGTTATAAACTTGGATCTATCTGATTTTTTGACTGTTAGATGACTCTTTAATTAATTGGTATCTGATATTCATTTGTATTCGTGATAGTGGTAGAAATTGAAAAGAATGTGAGGGAGAAGTATTATCGAAAAAGCTAAAATGGATATGATTAGTCTTTGGCCATCTCTTTTTTCTATATTCCTCTTAATTTTTATTGTATTCAAACTAGTTTTTTCATGGGACCGTTAAGATTAAGTGGTTATCAATTCTTGATCTTTTGAGAAGGATTAATGAGTTGTAATAATGAATGATGTAGATGAGAAGGACCATCTGGGAATTATATTAATATTACTGGGAAACATAACTTTTGCCTTACTTTCTCCACTAACGATTATAGATGAGAAGCTTCTGATTGATTTGATGGTTCTTTTCCAAGTTGCAATTCACTAATTTTCCTTCTAACGCAGTTATCCGTGATTTTTATATAAATTTAATACATTTTGAAGTTCATGAATACCACTGTTAACTTGTTAGGTGACCCCGAATCTTTACGGAAATCTAGTTGCAAATACAGCAGCAGGTATTGCTGGAGGCACTGGAGTAATGCCAGGAGGTATGGATTTTATTACTTACTTCTTACCTAGCTTATTGAATGTTGGCCACTCCGTTATACCATATTCTTCAATGCATCACTACAGTCTAGAACTACTCAGTCAAGGATGAGATTATTAATTGTATGCTCCTTTCTAAATAGTCTCTCTTTTTTTTTTTGTGCCCCCGATGGATAATTCTAACTAGTCCTTATTTTGGAACAGTTATTATGGGGAACATTTCCTTGCATTGAAAATTTTGGAGTTAAAAATTTTTAATCACTTTCAATCATTTGATAGCATGAGAATCAAACTTGAACCTTGTTTTGTACGTCAAAATGTGCAAGCGGTAATGAAGGCAGTTGTCATCGTTGACATAATGGAATTGCTCTTGGTTGTAATAGCAGTAGTATCAAGATTGTAAGGGTTTGGATGGAGTTGGGTGCATTGAGGACAGCAAATGGGTTGATGCATGGAAGTGAAGTGGCATTTGCATAAACATGGAAGTGGTTATTGATAAAAATTTAACACTATAATTAACCTGTTTGGTTCATCCTTGTGGAAAGGAATTGCTTTTCCCTTGCACATAAAACAAGATTCATAATACTTATATAATCAATATTTATCTCTTTTTATTATTTTTTGTTTAGGGAGATGAGTGTCTTTTTTCTATCCACAAAATAACTTTTTTCTATCTCACTTTTTCATCAATACAATTCCAATCTGTATACTAAACTGAAGAGATTATTGCATGAAAGTCACTAAGAATAGGTGTCAATCCTTGCAGGAAATGTTGGAGCAGATCATGCTGTGTTTGAACAAGGCGCTTCGGCAGGAAATGTTGGTAATGATAAATTATTGGAACAAAAAATAGCAAACCCAGTAGCACTGCTTCTCTCGTCGGCCATGATGCTCAGACATCTTCAATTTCCTGCATTTGCTGACCGCTTGGAAACTGCTGTGAAACGAGTCATTCTTGGGGGCAAACACCGGACAAAAGACCTCGGAGGGCAAAGCACAACTCAAGAGGTTGTCGATGCAGTGTTGAGTGCTTTAGACTGATACAACATATTTATGCTATCTGCCTCATAGAGGAAGCCTCGTACATTCCATACTAAGCTTCATAGCTGAAATTGCCCATTCTTGGTCCGGAATAATGTCAATCGAGTGCAGAAAATGATTCAATTTTCTGAAACAATTTATAGAGGAGGTGATCAAAATGGCATCACTCCTTTGATGACATTATAAATTTATCTTGTAGCTCTTTTTGGTCATGGCGTTTCATATAGAGTTGTGTAATTTTGGAATGACTTTCCGTGAAATAAACAGATTAACTTGATCAACTAGAAATCACACCACTTCAGTCTTTGGTTGTTCTTTTGAATCATTAACTAGCATCTGTGGAGTCATGGATTGCGATCCTGTACAATCATACACTATGTATTTAAGGGAGAGAAAAATGGATTGTGTTAATTTTAGTTGAAGTAGGCGAGAAAAAGATAGAAGCGAGACCCGCTTATGTGAAACATGCGAAAGGTAGAGTCTCGCCTCTTGTTATTCGATTTTCTATCTCATTGAAATCGACATGGCACATTCACTTGTTGGGTTAAGGTGTGCATGGATATCCTTTTGTAAACAATTAAAGCTCCGAACATTTAACAAAAAAAAATCAGCTAAACATCTTATTTTTCAAAACTCTATTTGATAATAAATTATAACTTGAAATTTCATCGTTGGAAGAAGCTATTTGAAGTTCCGCTTGACAATCAAGTATTTTGAAATTTTATTTGATAATCAATTTTTTAATTAATTTTACCTAATTGAAATTTAAACACACCCTTAAATTCAAAATATCGATGGGTTAGTTACCATTATAACAAGTTGGAATCAATTGTGAACAGGAAAATAGAGAAATCACCACTTGTTAAAATCTGCTCTAAACTTCCAAACACATTCATATTTATGATAATACTCCCTCCAATCATATTTACAAGATATTTTTCAGACATAATTTTTAGTTTAAAATATAGAACATCTTATAATAATTAAATTATTTTTTTAATTTTATCCTTTATTAATTAGTGTAAATATATTTAATATAGTTATATTATTATTTAAAGTCAAAGATAAAAATAAAAGTACATCTTATTTTTTTTATGATATAAAAAAATAAATTATTTTAAAATATGTAAAATGATTAAAAGTATTATATAATAAATATTAAAGGGAGTTTTTACGACTATTGCTGGGATGTTAGCCCACAAATTTGGATAGATTGATGATTTGAATGAGGCTGAGTGGTTGAAACTGAGGGAATGCGTGAGTGGGTTTTTCTTCGACGTTGGTTATGACCTGCCAGTCTATCCCTACAACTCCTTTTGTTGCCATGGAACTGCGACACTTCATGAAACCTGCAGCATCAGCATGGCTATGAAGTAGAAAAGCAATGAGGATGAAAATAAAGGATTGAGGAAGCTACATACTTACTGCACTGTTGGCAGAATCTCTGACGAATGCCACAGACCAAAACCACAGAAGCTTTAGAATGTCTGCCACAAACCTTGTGCCTCTGCTGGTACTTGCTCGCCATTCTCAAGTCCACCCCACATTCGTCTGCTTGACAACGCAGCATTGCTCTCTCATTACCCTTCTCTGTCTTCGTCCTCTCCCCAAATACCACCCTTATCACTATCTTCTTCCACTTCGTCTCACCGTCTTCTTCTTCGCTTTTGAGTGATCTCTCGGCCATCGGAAACACGATCAAGGTTCCCAATTGGAGAGTTGAGAGAGACTAGTGAAGTGGAAGCCGCTGGGTGGGTGCTTCTCTGGACAGAGACGGAACGAGAAAGATACGATTTGGGGAAGAAAAGAGCGACGTTAAGGAGCACTTGCCATTCCGTACGACGCTTGGTGGCCCTACCCACTATGACCCCGTCCTGATTCCATGCTTCGCTGAGCTTAGCTTATTCTTGACGTTATCACTCCCACTTAATAAATTAAGTTTTAAATTTTATGAAATATGTTACAATAGTCTAGAAAAATAATTACTATTAAATATCAAGCAAATAATAACTTGTGTTCATAAAATAATGATGATTTCAAAGTTAAATTTGTAAGATTCAAGTCGGATAAAATGTTCGCTAACTGAAATAAATTTTGTGCTCAAAAAATATAGACCAAATTTTTTAAAATTTAGAAGTGTAATCAATTTTTATTAATATACAAAAAATTTATTATTAATATACAATAATATATCACTGATAAATAAAAAAAATCAATCATAACATAAAATATAATAAATATTGAATTATTTACCTGCTTTGTTCCTATAACATAAAACTTCATTTAAATATTAAAAAAATTTATTTATTTTCAGAAAATACACCTAAAATTTGAAAAGAGGTGCAATTTAAAAATATAATTTAATTTAAGGATGTTAAGGCCGTACGATGTCCATGCTAGTGAATATATACCGTTGGATCCTTCCAAAAGGATTTGAGATGTGCCAAAATGGACAGTTAGATCTTCTTCAGCGGCACGCGTACTCAAGCATCCCTGGCTACTCTTTCTTGATATACAGAACACAAAAACAAAGTGAATTGAGCCGTGCAAATTTCAAAAAAAAAAAAGAATTATAATATCCAGGTTTTTTTAATGTGCTTGGCGAGCAAATCAACTAGGCTATTTAGTTTTTGTTCCGAAAAAAAAAAACCAGGCTATTTATTTGTGTCTCTAAAATTATGGCTGAAGGTAGTGATCTATTTTTTTTTTTTAATAATAAGATCCTGAATTTTTTGGATTGTATTGAAGACATAGTGAATCTAAAAGAAAAAAAAAATCAGAATCTCACTTAAAAAATATTCACATTTAATGCTTGATTATATCTTAAGAAGAATAGCCTCTTATAGAAGAATATGAATGAGCAATAAAAAAAGAAAAAAAATTATAGGTCTGACCGAAAATATTTGATATGCTTATTTTTTGAAAAACAAAATTTTAAATCATATTTTGTTATTAGTTCTTGCACTTTTTTTAAGTATTTTTTATATTTATATTTTTGTTTTTCATTATTTTTGATGGAGGAACCTAAAACAATAAAAAATAAAAATATATAGACTAAAAATACTAAAAAAAGTGCAGGAATCAATAGCAAAACACTAGTAAAATATAAGTACTTAAATTTATGTTTTTTTATTTCTAATTAAACCAAGACATATAAATTTTTTATAAATTATTTATTATATAACAAACTCTTATCATTAATATTGTTAATATATTAAGATAAAAAATTAAGTATCTAAATCTTACCCAACATGAAAATGCTCATTCTGGATGAGAATGGGAGCCTCAATTAAATTAAGGTAACCTTAACTTTGGAGAAATTTTCCTTATAACAAAAGGTGAGATCTTCAAAACTCTCCAAAAATTCAGCAAAAATATTAGAATGAAAATCAAGATATTTATTAATTAAAACATATTACCTAATTTTGTTTTTGGGCGGGGATAAACCAACTATAGGCTACAGCACCATTCTGCTAAACTCAATTGTGTTTTTATTTTAAAAATAATCATTGGTGGAGACAAAGGGAATATTTTCATAGCGTCCCTTGCTAAACTTTATCACACTTCGTGCTTCCTCCTGATTTTATTTACTAGTTACTTTTTATAACAAACACACATTAAGATGTTTCAATTAAATAAGATGGGATGTTATAAACAGACACAATATATTCACTATTATGCAAACCACATGGGATGAAGATAACTATATGTATATATGTATTTTCGGATCAAGGGTGAAGATAAATTATAGAGGCGCTGAATAATGGAAGATCTAGAGACGGAGACGAAGGATGAAGGGATAGAGCAAAGAGCCACAGTAGATGAAACTTCCGATCCTAATGCCACTTGAAACCAAAGCCAACTCTCTATCATTGTAACCACATTTTGCTTTTCCTTCCATATCCACCCCAACAAGGCCCGCACCACTTGTCTCGTTTGAAGACTGCCATTCATACCCACAAATTTTTATTAGTCCGTAAAATCATAGCATTGAAAATCAAGTCTATCTGCTGGTTAAACTAATAAATTTAATGAAATGTTTTGTTCCTGACCAATCTGATTAGGGTTTTACTACAATTTTATTCATTAATCGTTGAATTAATATCTTGATCAGTTTAATGGTAAATCCGATTTTCAATGCCTTGTACAAAACTTTCTAGATAATCCTCACTAAGATTTAAAGAAAAAAATTGTGAATAATGTAGCTTATCTCTTAACTCCATCGAAACAATATCGCATGTATGTACAAGCAGATTTCTATTGTTAATTACCATGGTCATGGCAATCCAATAAAGTTGTGATTGTGCGTCATAATGAATGTTATCGGGAAGACCAGGCAGATGCTGAACGAAATTTTCAATTTTGCCCTTCTTAGAGCCCTTTATGTTATATTTTCTGCATCTTCTCCTGCACAATAGCTCAAACATGAATCTTATGTAAAGCATGTACGTGGAACATGAGCTTCAACATCTCACATGAGGGTTTCACAAAAGACCACATATTGCTGATCTGGCGAGACTGCAACCCCATTGGCAAAGTAGAGTTTAGAGGCCAAAAGTGTGGTGTGGTTGGTTGAAGGATCAAAGCTCATGAGTCTGCCATGAGGCTTCCCTTCCAAGAAGTCAAGCATGAAATTACTTAAACTGTATTTGTAAGAAGCGTCTGTGAAATAAATGGTGTCATCTTCCGCAACATCCACTCCGTCTGTTAACTTGAACCTCACTCCCCCAACCTCCTCCACCAACACCCTAACCTTTCCCTCCTTTGTCACTCTCATCAATCCCTGCATCATTGATTCAAGGAAATACACGGACTGACTGTTTTGACTGAATTAATACATTACAAAACTAAATATGAAAGAAAATAACCTTGTCCGCGTCACTGACTAAGATATCACCATTGGAGCTCAAAGCAAGACCGAGAGGTCTTCCTCCGGTGTTGACCCAGTTATGGACCACCAAGTCAGACACCGAATCGTTCACCGTGACTCGCTTGATCCACCCATCGCTACACCCTGCATATATCACACCTCCGCCACCTCCGTCGTAAACCAAGTCTTCAGGTCCCTCCACTTGTCCCATTCCCATAACCTCCCATCGCCGGCATAGAACCGGAGCCACCACCATGGAGGACATGATCGTAAAGACCACAGCAAAATGCCTTGTCTGATTCGACCAAGGTGACATTTGCTTTGGAATTGATATACGCGAATAGAGTTCTCCGAGTAGATAAATAGACAGAAATATTAAGTGCAGCGAAGGAGATTTCATATAGTCAAACTTGCGTATGGCTTTATTGTTAAGCCTTAACTGAGATGAAGATCCGTGTTAGGCATCTGAAGCGTAAAAGTGTGCTTACCACTTCGACATGTGCAGTTGTTACAGGGCAGTTAGGCCCCTTACATGTGCAACAGCGTAGGACAATGCTTTTGACAAGATCTTCTAAAACTTGGAGTGACAATACAAAGAGTGGAAATGTTCGTCTTCATGACGATTGAACCTTGGCATCAAATGCTGGTGCCAAAAAGAAATATATTTATATAACACCGAAAAGAAAGGGAAATACAAGTTTATAAACTCTGAAAAACTAATCATTGAAAAGAAAACCATCCTACTTCAATATCTGATAAAACTATGCCATACTAAATAGTGCCATATCATCTTAACTTCACTGTTGAAGACATCGCACAATTACATCCGCCGATGACTCTAGCTGCATCCTACCTTCATCTTCCAAGGCGATGCCTGATTACTCCTCGCTCCTCATCCAGCACAAAATTGGCTCTTGTAAAGTGATTGCTATTAAAAAAGGGTTTAAGATCATAAATTTCATGCTCTTGAGCCTGCACAATGTAAAACAAAGCCGGTCACTATTACCCAGTTTCCAAAATAACCATATCTTCTTTTCTGTTTCTTTGTTGGATATGAATGTTACCTTGTTGGAGAGATCATCAATTCTGACCTCAATGTGCGAGAGGTTTGAAGTAGATCCAGTAACAATTTTTTCAAAATGCAATGCATTCTTTACAAGCTCACGAAGAAGGTATAGGAGCAATTCATTGTAGTCTTTCTTGAAAGTCATATACTTCCTAAAGCTCTGCAAAAGCCCACTTTCTAGATTAAGGCCATGGGCTGAATATTTTTCACTAATTGCAATCTAAATTCCTACGGCAAGAAAAGAATACACTCGTTTGTTCCATAACTATGGCATGGTAGTTTGCATGCATCATTGTAGATTTAACACCATAGACAATAAATTCAAACAACACCAAAAACAGCTTTTCAGTGATGGAACAATATGCTAGAGAAAGAATAGAAAGAGTCAATGAGGTAAATCCAAAAAAATAAACCTTCTGCAGGGCTTTCTGCACCCCAAACTTCTGGGTTGAAATGAATGAATCAAGTAGAACACGAATTGCCATGTCCACATCTTCTTGCGTGATATGCTGTCTGAGATGCATTCTAGCATGGGCTTCCGACATCCTTATCATTGATTCTATGTGCCTTACAGCAATGGGAACTCCTTGTCCATGCTGTATAAAGATAATGGGTGCAGCATGTGAGCAAAGCTGATATAAATAATCACTAGCAAGAAATGGTAAGCAGAAATGAAGCATTACTGAAGATTCTCTCCGCAATTCAGCATAAACATGTGTCAGTTTATCCATATCAGCATCATGTAACCTCGGAACCACATTCATCTTGGCATATGTGATATACTTCTTCAGCAGGTCTTGGGGAAGTATCTGCAGACATAATTAAAAAATATAATAGCTTTGGAAGCCACAGTCTCCGTTATCCACAATAAAACTACTAAACAGTATTTAGTAATGACCTCAGGATCAGCAGGCATGGAAGCAGTATAAACATCTTCAAATTCATGTGATGAATCCATGTTAGCACCCTTAGGCTGTGACTTGAAGTGACTGTCCACAACAAACTTTGCAAGCATTTCATCAGTGACTGGATCAACAACATCCTGAAGAATCAAGAGTCGCCGCTGTTAATATTACAAAATATAAGTTTGTAGGAGAAACGGTGAAAGTGAACATAACCTTCACAACACAGAGGATGTCAAATCGAGAAATGATAGGATCCGTCAATTCAACATTTTGAGAAAATGTTTTTGAGGAGTCATATCTGCCAAAAAAACAAAAACTTCAAGCTAAGAGTACTTCATGAGAGAAAGGCTTGGAAAATGCAACTAAACCTTCTGAAACAACCAAGTAGTGCACATGTCGTAGTTTATGCATTGCATATTTGTCTACATTACAACCATATTAACGCTCATCTAGCACATGTCCAGCTCAAGATAATGTATATTTGCTTACCTTCCTCCAATAGGATTGGCAGCAGCAATGACAGAGCAACGCGCCTGAAGAGATGTAACAATGCCTGCTTTTGATATGCTTATACTCTGTTGTTCCATAGCTTCATGGATACTCACCCTGGTATTTACGAATATCTTTAAGCTAAACAAACATTTGCTTACCTTCTCCCTTCCTCTGGTGAAGTTGGGAGTTAGAAGCGTAAATTGGAAATCACAAGATTACAAGGATGGTATCTAATTTTGTTACCTATCCTGATCATTCATCTTGTCAAACTCATCAATGAGACAAATTCCTTTGTCAGCTAGAACAAGTGCTCCCCCTTCAAGGGTCCACTCCCTTGTGACTGGATCCCTGTGAACTGCTGCAGTGAGCCCTACTGCAGAAGCTCCTTTCCCAGTGGTATAAACAGCCCTCTGCCCAGTCTTTTCAACATATCTGGAAAAAGATTGTTGTAAGATTCAATGCTAGATCACCATAAACATTTCAGAGAAATCTCTAGAAGACAATCGCTACACTCTTACTTCAAAAATTGTGACTTCGCTGTTCCTGGATCACCAAGAAGAAGAACATTTATGTCTCCTCGTAGGCGATGCTTTCCTTCAACATTTTTTTCGAGACCTCCAAACATAGCTAAAGCTATTGCAGTTTTTATGTCTTCATGACCATAAATTGATGGAGCAATAGACTTGATAATCTGAAATCCAATTTACAGCGTGTTTCAGATCAGGTACTTGATGCACCAAAATAACAATATATCAACTACTAGAGAACAAACCCTTTCTCCAATTCTGGGGTCTTTGGCCAACTTCTCAATCTCATCTTTGTCCTCCTGTGTAAGTTTGTAGGAAGAAAAGAGATCTTGCTTCTTCAAAATATAATTTGCCTCAACCACAGTGGCAAATACCGGAAAACCATTCTTTGTGTTCAGAGACAAGTCAAAGTTGTTCGTATAAATTCCTGTGACTTCCTGCAAGTTTTATAGTACAGAAAGCAAAATAAGGAAATCATTCAGTGACAAACGCGCGCTAAGTAACTAGTCTGAGTAAAGACAATACAATCTCTTCCCCAGGTCGCGCACAATCAATCAGATCATTCAGTAGTATCACTTCTTTGTATCTTGGAAGTCGACCTGCAGGAACTGTTCCAGGACTTTCTTGGAGAGTAAGCTTCTGGTAATTCCTATAAATTGTCTATAAACATGAAAACAAGATTTAATTAGCCTCTCAGAAACAGAAACATTGGTTGCTAATGAAATTGTAAAAACAAATACATGACGTTATATAATTTGGGAATAAAAAACAATAAAAACAAACTAGCCCTATACAGCTGTCTAGCCAAGTTGATGCAAGGATTAGTGACAAGTCCATAACATAGTTTCTGTTATCAAAATTTTCATTCGATATTCTTGTTTTAAACATTGCAGAAAAAGAGAACTATGTAAGGATTTGGGAAGTAGTACCTGCTCAATATTGACAGTGAATGGTCCTTTCGCTTGGCACTCAGGGCAAGATCCAACTTTCACTTCTGAATAAGAATTCTGAAAAAATGGCCCCAGAATTGATCCACATTTGTTGCAGTCATATTTTACTTGTTGCAACTGGGGGAAGACTCCAGAACGCCTGGTTACAACTCCCCCAATCCGGATCATGGTGTTCAAGTGGATCTGCCTGCTCTCAAAAAAATTAGAGACAAGGCTTTATCCTTTATCAAGTTCAGAAAGGGAAGGAAGGCGGAACGACGCTTCAGTATAATTTTTTTGTTTGCATTACCTTATATTTCGAATCTGATCATAAACTGGCAAGTTGGCGATGCGAACATAAATTTTTTGATGTATGTTTCTGTAGTTGGGATGTAATTGAAACACAACCTTCTGGGCAACATCTTCCATTACTTCTAAAACAGACTGAGGCGCATCAGCCAGCCAAATGGCAATGTTAGGATGAACATATATAAATTGTTTGTAATCAATCTCCAAACTGCACTTATTAGCTGCATGTTAATGACAAACCATTTCATGATTCGTCAGAGATCAGTAAGCAAAATACAGCAATAAACTCACAATTTCATCAATCTAAGCTTCAGCACAATAGATATACCTGAGACCATCTCATTTATCAGCCGCACATATTCAAATTCACCATGCTCGTTCTTTGAATTAACATATGTAAGTAAGAAATCCTTGAATTTTTTGGCAATGAAGCGACGCACTTCATCTCTTGTCACCCATTCTCTTAGTGTTCCTTGAACACGATACATCTCATATTCACTGTCGTCACCATATTCATCCTACGATCCCAAGTATCCCTGTTAACTGTTAAATGACACCAACAATTTATCCCAGGATATAAAACGCAAAGAGTCAAAATGTTTATTACATCATATCGCTCATCCTCTGTTTGATCAGTCATTGGAATGTCCTCTCTTGAGTGCCCTTGGGACCTTCCGGGTGAACTTTGTGTCCCATCAATATTATCATTACCTCCACCACGTGGAGGCCTGAAATCAGCTCGAGCCCTTTTTGAAGGCCTATAGCTGTCATCATCAGTATCTGCAATACAAGGGTCAATGATCAAAACCAAATTTTTCCTTGCCCAGACGTCCATAAAAATAGTGTTAAAAAATCTCCTTCCGTCCTTCAGAGATTACTATGGTAGCAAGAATAAATAAAAAATTGATCATCAGGCCAAACTTCAATTCAATGCTTCATAATATTGATGCTCCCCTCCTTGCTCAATTAAGCCAATAACGAGGCTCAAGCAAGGCTCTCCTACTTTAATAATGCCATAATTCCAAGAACCAATATCATTATACACGTTTATTTTTAAGCCACCAGCAGCAATTTCCAAATAAACGACCTCCAGCTGATAAGTAAACACAGGTATTATGATAAGAAGAGTTCGAGGAAATGGGCCATGTGTCGGCGTTTACCATCAAACGATTAAAGGTAAAAATAAGAAATGAAATGGCCTTACCCTGGTCGAAAAGAAGCTGAGGAAGCTTGTTGCGAATGGGAAGGCGACCATCACGGGCTTCGAGCTCCATCTCAGCAGCCCTCCGGTCCTCCATGATCTGATCAAAATCCCTATCATCGTCCAAGGAGTCGTCCAATCCAATTGATTCGTACTGGTCATGTTCCTCCATCCTCCGGTAGTCACTAAAATTCAAGTAAATATCGAGTTAGAGAATAGCAGTAAAAATTGGATGGGTTTTCTGAGAAAATTCAAATAGGACTTACTCCATGAAATTGTCATGGTAAAGATCCTCCCCATCTTCCTCTTCCTCAAGTTCTTCGGGTTCATCCCGTACAATCTCCGGATCAACGGAAGCCTCGGCGTCATCATCGGAGGCACGGCTAGTGTAAGGAAGTTGATCGGTGTTGAAGCCAACCGAAGGAGAGGTCGGCGACTCCGGCGTTGATGGCGGATTCCCTGGCGTTGACTCTTCTCCTGCCATACTTGTCTACGCTAATTCTTCCGATCCAAATGGAGCACTGTCTCTTTCTCCGGTAGGGCAAAACATAGATGATAAACCCCCAAGGAGTTGGCGGGGTCGCTCAATGGCGGGAAAGCTTGGCGCCAAAATGGCCAGCTGTGTAACGTGTATGTCACGCGCACATGTGCATTGCCCTTACACATGCGGGGATAACTGTTTCCGGCCCGTTTTGCAAAGCTTTCCAGATTTTTTTAATCCCAAATACAAAGTATACAGAGGATTATTTATTATTATTTTTTAATTTTATCTGATTATAAATTTAATTTTATGATTTATTAGATATTGTATTTTTTTTATTCATTGGTAAAATCTTCAATTTTGTTTCTCTACAAATGTTGCTTCTTTCGCAAAGAAATAAGGAATTTAAATATATTAGACTTGTTGAAATTAAATTCCTTACCCAAAATTTCTCTGTAATTTTTTCGTATGTCTTTAATTACAAATATATTTGTATTTTAAAATAAAAATAAAATTATCATGAACAGAAATTAGAGATTAAAATATATTTTTATGAAGAAATGGTTTGAATGATATTTTCACTGAAATACTATATTTTACATTTTTAGTGCAAACCATAAGGAAAAACGAATGGGCGAACAAACTATGTTCAAGAACATCACAACCTGCTCCAATTTGTTTAGAAATTAAACAGGAAAAATCCCACAAACCAAATTCACTCGTAACATACTAGTGTAAAGGAAGTCATTAAACACCTATATAGTATAAACTACGACTAGTTTGACATGAACAATCAAATTACATGGTGCCATCTTCCACAACATCCACTCAATCTCTGTTATAGTCTGAACTTCAAGCCTCTCCATTTCCTCTGTCAACAACTCAACCTTCGCTTGTCTTGTCAGTTTGTACATGTGGCTGGTTTGTGGTGTGAAGAGCAGCATACTTGTTCAGATCCAAACGTATGATGAAAGGATAGTGAAGAGAGCCACAATACAAGTGATTGCCAATCCTAATGACACTTGAAATCATTGAAAACTCAGCATCATAGTAATGTGCAATTGGCTTTCCTTCCAAGTCCACAGCAATAACTCCTCCATTCTTCTCCATACGAGGCTTTCCCACATACTTCATCACCATTGCCACTGCCTTCCGAATCACTGGATATCTCATTGCTAATTCCCAAGAATATGTAGGTGACTGCCATTGTTCATGCACAACCAAAAAAAAAAAAAAACATTAAGACGTTATTGCATGCCTCAAGCAACAAAAAATGTGAAAGTGGAGCTCTCTCGTTATTAAATACACAAGAAGGTCATCATGATAGTAAGTTTCTAGGTATATCTAACCATAAAGAAACTGAATTTCTTATGGAGGATATCTCATCCTTCTTTTTCACAATCCTAGGGTCAAATTAAATGAGTTGCAAAGAAGGGATAAATTGGCGTAGAGATACGCATTACGTACCGAGGCTAATCCAATCCAATACTGGCCTTCTCCATCATGATGAATGTTATCAGGATAGCCAGGCAAATCCTCTACAAATTTTTCTATGCTTCCTTTTTTAGGACCTTCTATGTAATATTTTCTGCACCTTCTCCTGTAAATATGACACCTGATCAAGATTCACAGAAAATATGTTCTGGCACTCATATATCTCTACAACTTTTCACTTGATACATACATTTTGATAGACAAAAGAGATACTCAAATACGGTTTTTTTTTTTTTTTTTTGCTGGAAAGAATAGGAATGGAATTGAGAAAATAAATAAGAACAAAAACAAAGTAAATTATATCATCAAGTTCATGGCAAGCATGATAAAACCTAATACCATATAATATAAATGTAGGAATCAACATACCCTTTGCGGTCTTCATAAATCATGACTTTTAACTTCATAAATTAAATTACGCTTTCATTCTTGTGAACAAGATTGACTTATTTACCCTCCATATTTTAATCATTTTATTTTGTCTTTGTTTCTATAATCCATTCCGTTCCTTTCCTTTCCAACAAAGGAAGGATCCCAAGGTAATTCAATATATACGAGTCATATAGTAACTCACAACATAGTTTCACAGAAGACCACGAATTGCTGATCTGGTGAGACTGCAACTCCGTTAGCAAAGTAGAGATTGGAAACCAGAAGGGTTGTGTGGTTGGTGGATGGATCATAGCTTATGAGTCGGCCATGAGGCTTCCCTTCCAATATGTCAAACATGAAATCACTGAAACTATATTTGTAGGAAGCATCTGTGAGATAAATGGTGCCATCTTCTGCAACATCTACCCCATCTGTGAACTTGAACTTCAACCCCTCCACCTCATCTGTTAACAACTCAATCTGTCCTTCTCTTGTCACTTTTACTAGTCCCTGATAATTTAGCTTGTATTAGTATTTAAGTTGATATCTAATTCCTTTAAAAAAAAATCACAAATACTTAGTCACACATGTAATTATGTTTCTAAAACCGATCAAAACACTGATTTAAAATTTAAATTGAATTGATTCATTAATTTAACAAGTATTCCCATAAGAGATGTAAATTGATGACCCCGTGAAGAAGGATGTCGTGTTTTGATTATGGCATGGGAGAATATTTGTCTTTTAATGTACAAAAGTACTTTATTAAGCATATTGTACACAATTAAAAAAGGAGGGAAAACATAATCATTGATCCCTATAATTTTATCGGATTTTGTTTTTAGTCTTTGTGGCTTTTCTCAATATTTTTAGTCTTTATAAGGATTAAAAACTCTAAAATTATAAGGATTTAAGTAGCAAAGGTCACCCAATCTTACTAAAACTGTAGAAATTGAAAATACTAAAAAAAATATAAGAATTAAAAGTAAAATTTGATAAAATTATAGGGACCAATAATTATATTTTCTCTAAAAAAATGTAAATTTGGTATACTGCATTCAATTTAGGAAATAAATTATAACACTACTAGGTTGCCATTTATAATAACAGTCCCATATAGTAGGAGTTCGATTAGTTTAAACGAAATATGGTAATCCTCTCAAGTTTCTTAAGATACTGGCTGATTTTTTATTTATTTATTTTTTTTAAAAAGCGAAGCTTCAAAAGTCTGGATAGAATGGGCAGGGCATGGTATATACAAGGATAGCAAAGAGAACCAAAATATAAGCAAAATCAATGAAGATGGAAGTATATAGTAATATAATAATAGATTGACGTGAGAGCCTGAAGATTTTTTTGTACGTACGGAAGAGAAAAAACTTGGCACAAGCCCCTCGATATGAAGCTCACTCTTTCTAATAAAAAGACATCACCAAACAAATTTAGTTCACTCAGTAAGAATTTGGTTCAAAAGTCATAATTTATAAGAATTAGATCTTGCTGCTGATGTAATGATTCAGCCAATTTGTATAAATATTTTTGTAAATATTCTTTAAAATATCTTTGTAAGTCTTTGTGTATATATTGATCATGTTCTGATCAATATATATCAAAATAGAAACTCATAAGTTTAGGTTCTCACTCTCACAATGCGCGAAGGACAATTGAATATTATTCATATCCATAGGAATGAATCAGTTACAACAGAAATACATATGTAAGCCATTCTAGTATATGTTTGGTTTTTAGTTTACATTTGACAAAAATACATTTGAAAATTTTGACTCTTCGTTGGACAAAAACACATTCCAGATGTTGTTTTAATGTACTTTTAAGTGTTACTAAACATGTATCTAGTCTCTTCTTTACACGAAGAATAACAGACTTAATAATTACATAAACAAACCTGGTATACAACTTTACAATTGGGCCTTGTTGGGCTTAACAGATGACATTGTAATAAGGCTCACCTAAACTTTTACACCCACATATATATAAAGACGCATGTTCATCAGTCCCACTAACTATGCTAAACTTGGGAAACTCAATTGGACGCCCCTCCTAATTGCCGTTATAGAAAAGGAAATTCACAAACAAGGATCGTTGAAGAACTTTTATTGCATTGTAAGATTTAAAAGATTTAAATGTGATTAAAGTTTGTTGTGCTTAAACGAAACCACTCCTCATATATATATATATATATATATTTTAAAATTTTCACCATAATCACTGGCTGGAGCTTCGACGTTGGTCTAACAGCTGGCACCAAAGCCCCGATAACCATCAGCAATGGTCTAGCAACTGACCGTGGTGAGATTTTTTAAAAAGATATATATAAGGAGTAATTTTGTTTTTTCACAACAAATTTCAATTATATTTAGATTCCTTAATCCTGTAAAACAATTTCAAAATTGTTTAATCATGCCAAGTAATAAATGTTCTTCTATGATTAGAATTTTTCATTATAGATATCTGGTGCCAGAAATAATGAGCGGGCTCATCACGCGGGGGTTCTATAAAATTTAAAATATACTTTTATTAGGTCCGTATAATATAAAGAAAGACACATTTTGTATGAACTCGGATGAGGTCTAAATTTCACGCACGATGAAGGTTTTTCTCCACCACAACACAAGGATTATCCAAATACTATTGAATGTGCCCGCTTTTACCCGACCAACCTACTAAGTACCCCTAACCAACCCCAATCTCCTCTCCTCATTAAGTTAAGTTTGATCTAAAACCATTACATTGCCCCGTACTCCTTCCGTTTTTTAAATATAAAAAAATTAAGAAAAATATACTTGTAAGTTCTTACAGTTCCATTCAATTTTGAACTAAGCCCTTGCACTTTATTTTGTTTTAATCAAACTTTTATAGTTTTATCTATTACATATATTGACCCATAAAGGTTAAAATTAATAATAAATTATTAAATTTTACAAAACAATAATACTTTTGAAGTTTGCAGAAAATTTAATTTAATACTTTTAGCCAAAATTGAAAAAATTTAATTTAATCTACTGTTTATATTTTTATTATGAATTTTAATGGAAATTCTTCATGTATAAAAAATTATTCAAAAAAAACAATTTAATTACATAAATTTTGAATTATAAAAAATATATAATTAATTCTAAAGTCATATAATCATTTAATAAAAATATAAAAGTTCTTAATTTTGTTTTTTAAAGGAAAAATGTAAGGATTTTAACTTTTAATGATTAAAACTTTAGTTGGTTAAGATGTAAGGGTTCAATTAAAATAAAAAAAAACTTCAGGGACCTAATTCAAAATTGAGTGAAACTGTAAAGACCTACAAGTATGTTTTTTCAAAAAAATGTCATGTCTTTTTTTATTTATAAGTAAAACTATAAATTTCAAAAAATATTGATGACATTTTTAAAATTATCTGTCATAAATAGTCAGTGCTTATTTTTATTACACAAATTCGTTTTATTAATTACAGAAATAATTTAATCCAATTTTTAAATTTCAGATATAATTTTATAATTAATTAATTTTTTTAAATGCGTGAAAGTTAATTTATTTTCTCTGATAAATGGAAGGATTATAATTGTATTTAATGGGGGGAACTCAAAGCCCAAATCAATGTTTATGATAATAGTTTTTTTTTTTTTTTGTCAGGACGTTCATGATAATAGTTGTTGCGGCGGATACAAGCAGGGGTGCTTTTCCCATATAATTTTTCTTTATAAAATGTATATATTTTTATTCGTAACTCATGTGAAAATTAATTTTGGACCCCCTGTTATTTTTCAATTTTGGCCCTCCATGTACTAATCGCTAGATCCGTCCCGCTTGTTGCCAACAAGTTATACCCCAACAACATTGGATTTAAATCTGAAATTCATGACTTATAAAGCTGTTGTATTATAATTTTATTGTATTTTATAACACACACACACCGATACACATACACAATTTAAAAAGACTTTTGAATTTTGAATATAGTTGAATATAATCGCAATAAATTATTACCTTGTCGGAGTCGGCGACAAGAAGTTCACCGTTGCGGTGCAAAGCAACACCGAGCGGTCTTCCTTCAGTCCGGGCCAAACTTTCCACCACCGAGTCGCCCACCGATTCGTTCACCGTGACTCGCTTGATCCACCCATCCATACACCCCGTATAAATGACACCGGCGGCCGCATCGTAAACCAAGTCTTCAGGTCCCTCCACGTCTCCCTCCGCCAGAGCTTCCGATCCTCCACGCATCCTGTCGTAGCGCACCGGCACCGTCATGATGCGCCGGCTCATCAAGTTGGCGGGGATGTGGGCCGGCTGGAAGGGTTCGAGCCAGAAGAGAACGGAGGCCAGGGCGATGGGGACGACAAAGGTGAAGAACAAGAGACGCCATGAAGACGTGGACGTCGTTTTTGCTGGTCTCCGACTTGAGTGAGTCGGAGAAGACAAGCGGAACTGCGTTGACTGGGGCATGTGTAGTGAGGAAAATCAAAAATGTGCTCCGGCTGCTGGTGAGAGGCTGAGACCTGAGAGGTGAAAAGAAAATGCATCAGACTCGTCAGTATTAGTGACGGGCGAAGACGCAGAGCCTGTTTGGGAACACCTGAAAAATCGATTTTAGCCACAAATTCATAATTTTGATAATTTTTATCCAAACATCCACGTTTTTAAAATTTTATTTAATTTTGTAAACTCCATTTCAATGAAGCAAAGTTTTATTTTATTTTAAAAAATTAATATCATAATTAATTTTTAAAATTTTATCCAAACACCATTACATTTTAATAATTAATTTTTTTCTCAATCAATTTTTCCTTCCTTGACCATTTCCCTTTTTTTATTGACGAATTGATGGTCCATTTTCAGCAATTCGATATTTCAACCAAATTAAATTGAAGAAATCAAGGTGTTGATTCCTTGGGCCCACCCACATCATCCACGTGACCATCAGCTGGTTTGTCACAGCTGCGGGGTTGTCTGAGACGATACGGAACATAACAAGCCGTGTGAAACATTTTTTGCCCAGAATGATACACTATTATTACAATTTACAAGAGAATATCAAAGAAAGATATTGAAAAACTTTAATATCTAATAAGTACTTAAATTGTTTGGATACTTGTTAAATTTAAATTTTCATCTGTTAATTGTAAATATTTATCTGTTAATTGTAAATATTTACTTGTGAGAAATTTTATCAAATATTAAATTTTTTTGAGCATAGTTAAGTAATATTTTCCGTGCGCGCACCATACCATATGGTCGACAAGGCACTTCACAGTTCATATAAAAATCTATGAAGATTTAAACAAGTTATTATATTTATAAAAAAAAATGTTTCTGTAGCTCTTCATCGCCCTCCACAGCGATAAAAAGTTGTTTTGCCTTTAGAGCGTGTGGATGAAAAGAAGACACGCAGGGGAGGTATCATCAAGCAGGGCTTGTTTCGGTGCTGGCACGATATTGTTTTGTGTGTTACTATGACTGTAGAATAACAAACGTGTTACATTAATGGCACAAATCATGCTCATGAAATGCTAATTAAAAAGATAATAAAAACTTGATGTAAAAACCTTTTTCCCAATGAAATTACAATATATATATATATATAGTACACATAGAGTATACGAGGCAATCTCTTCGAGTTTTTTTCTTTTAGGGGTGCAGTCACTTCAGCAAAGACTCCAATGTTATTGATTTACCTATAGTGGGACTAATTTTATCCAATTAAATCTGAAAAATGTTCAAATAATTACCTAGTAATAATTGACAATAAATTTAATCAAATTAATCTTGCACATGTTGAGGCAAGGACATAGAAAGAGGAAATTAACAAATTGGAGTGAAAGAGAAGAATGGAACTTTTTATTAGAAAATCACTCACAGAATTCATAGAACATCTATTTTATTTAAAAATTACTGCCAAAACTGATAGAACACTGAAAGACTTCGCATCTCTTGATAAAGTTTTAGACTTGCCTACCAGCTACTAATATTTCTTATACCTCCCAACTTTTAACACTGACAACAATTTTAAACTAATTACAATTGTGTTCATCACACCGTTGAATATTCAATTTAACTTACATTCATGATTATTCTAAACAACACGTTATAATGGATCCATCCCTCGAATGTTTAGCCATCATGATCTATGACCTTAGGTACAGTTCTAAGGACGTGGGTTAATTTCCTCTTATTCCTTTTTTCTACCTGAAAACTTTTAACTCCGTCTGTAATTAAAAAAAGAAAAAAGAAACAGTAGCCTCGTGATAATGAGCGGCAATGGAGGCCTACATATATAATGGATCAAAGTGCAAAATCAAGTTTACCTTCTAACAAAATCCAACATGGTTAGACTAGGAAGGGGAGAGAAAGAACGAGGGATTGGCGAGGATACAAATCTCACTTGTTAGAGTGTAACTAGCAAGTGCAAAATATAGGATACATTATACCATAAATATCATATACACATGTGGTTGGTTTGTGGTGTGAAGAGCAGGATACTTGTTCAAGTCTAAACGCATGATAAAAGGATGGTGAAGGAATCACAGTATAAGTTATTGCCAATCTTAATGGCATTCGAAATCAATGAAAATTCAATATTATAATAATCATCAATGGTGGAAAGAAAGAAAATCTGCAGGGGTTGCAACCTCTCAATTTTTTTAAATTTTCTTTATATTATATAGGTGTTATATACTTTCAACCCTCCTAAAATTTATAAAAATCCTGTAGTATATGCTTTGGCTCTCCTCATTCTTGAATTCTGGCCTTGCCCCTATTAATGAGTAATTGGCTTTCCTTCTAAGTCCACATCAATGACTCCTCCATTCTTCTCCAAATGTGGTTTTCCCACATACTTCACAATCATTGCCAATGTCTTAAGAATCATTGGATATCTTTTTGCTAATTCCTAAGTATACGTGGGTGACTACCATTCATGCACCAAAAACCATTAAGTTAATAACAATACAAAAATGCAGTTGTATCATTTGCAGTGTTGTGCGGTGTATCCAAAGATAAGGCGAATTTCTTACTCATTACTTGCTACTATAGCAACATACATATTCAAACATAACTCAAGTAACAAACGGTTATGACAAGGTTTTGAAACATGAACTTGCCCTTTTTCTTTTTAACATGAAACTTAGCGAAGAAGTGTTGTAGGGGTTACAACATTATTAAGCCTAATGACATTCAATACTGGCCTTGTCCGTCATAATGAATGTCATCGGGGAAACCAAGCATATAATCAACAAAAATTTCCATGCCCCCTTTCTTAGGGCCCTTGATGTAATACTTTTGCACCTCCTCCTATAAATTTAGCACATCATGTTTAGTGACTTATAGAGCAGTTTCACAAACAACGACAAATTGTTGATTTGGGGACACCACAACTCCTTTGGGGAGTAGAGATCGGAGGCAAGTAAGTACTGTGTGGTTGTTGGATGAGGAGACGGCCATGAGGCTTCCCTTCTAATATGTCAAAGAAGAAATCACTAAAACTCTATTTGTAAGAAGTGTCTGTGAAATAAATGGTGCCATCTTTTACAACATCCACTCCGTTGTTAGTTTCAATCCAAGTTGGCTGTATCTTAAATTTGAATGGACACATTAATAAAATTCAATTAGCAGATGTGCTCTCTCTCGGATATTAAAATTAAATAGCTAAAAATTTAAGTTAATAACTTAAAAAAAGAGTGAAGGGGAAAAAGAAAATGCCAGAAAGGCGAGCGAACTAAACTTTGAGATAGCAAGTGCCACATGTTTCGCCTTCCTGTCAATTTCAAACCAACATCGCCATTGCATTTTCGAGTCCTACATAGCGTTCAATACTGTTAGGGAAAATATAGGCCCCTATCCTGGTTGAAATTGGGGATGCATTACAGGAACGACATATAAGGTAGTGGCTTACTCAAGGAAAAGAAGTACTTTGAATTAGATGGACTAAAATACCCTTATTCAACCAATGATGAAACGAAAGTGGCCTTTTTAGGGATTCGTGAGAGTAGCGAGAGAAGGGAAGGTAGAGTCGTTGATGGATTGGGGATGCATTACATGGACGACATATAAGGCAACAGCTTACTTAAGTAAAAAAAAATCTAGAATTAACTAATTAAACATGGAACGCAATCGAAAGAAAAAAAAATATCTTCTTCCAACATAAAAAAAGAAAGAAACTACCTTGTTCTATCATGGCACAGTGAGAAAAAAAGGAGACTACTTTGTCAAGGTCAGCAATGACAAGTTCACCATTCTGATCCAAAGCAACACTAGTTACTCTGATAATATTATATGATCCATCTATTAATATAATAAAATCACAATTATTTTTTATTACACGTAGGTGTGCTCATATTAAAAATAATTTTATTCAAGAATTAAGTATTAAATATAAATATCTCTTTCAACAAGATTTAGGATTTTATATCATATGTTGTGAGGGGAAATTAGAATTATTTAGTAAAATAATCTTTTTTGAGTCACACTAGTTACTCTGAGATCAAATTTTAAAAATAGTAATAAATAAGACATGCAATGTCCAAATTTCAAAAAAGAAAAAAAACGTATAAATAATAAAATAATAAAGGAAGGAGAGCCACATACGCACTATTGATTATTGTTTATGTTTTATAAACGGACCTCCACCATGAAAAGTAGGAGGAGGGCCCTGGGAAGGGTAGGCTGATTTATGAGCAGAAAGCCCAGAGTGACTGGTCAAGTTGAAGGAAGGCCCATGTTTGATTGAACTTAGGAAGAATGACGCAAAAGGACCACGGTCAGCTCAAGTCTGAAATTCAATTTGGAATCCATGCCCTATCATCTCCTTCGATTAAAATTGCCGCCACATCCCCCCTTCCTTCTCCTCTCCCTCATCGCCTTGGTCTCCGTTGCCCCTCCCTCTTCTTTCTTCTTTCTGCCCTCTTCAATTCGCCCTCTTCATCCAACTAGAGACCAACGCCTTTGTCTCCAAGCGCCAATCCAGTTTCCAGATTGCGTCGAAGGGATCGCCAATGATGTGATTGGGTCGGCCTATCGTTGAAGGAGGTCAACGTGGTTGGTTTGAGTTTATGTGTAATTTCAGTGATTATTTTTTTAAATTGTTTAGTGATTGTGATTAATTTAGTGTAATTTACTGGAAATGTTTGCTCTTTGGTTTTCCCAATCCTTAATCTAACATGCAATGAAAGAAATCTTTTTCTTAGCTATTTCTTATCTGTGTTGTATTCTCACTTCTTCGACTTCCTTCTACGAGCAAGTTTTTACAGCCTACGTAGCCTTCCTGGTTAATAGGGCTAGCCCTGCCCCGTCTCATCCCGTCCCTTCCGGGGTTCGGGCTGAATCGGCAATGTGATTCAATTGGGAAGAAATTTGGATGTTTTTCTGTGATGCAAAGCTTTTCCAAATCTCTTGCCTTATTTTCGAGAAATTCGTGTTCGATTTTATTTTTTTTTGTCACTACAAGCTACAGAGTTGCGGCTAATATTTAGTCTATAAGCTGTTGTTATTATATTTGCTATTTTAGTCTATTCGAATTTAATTTTGCAACTTAAAATTGGTGAAACTTATGATTTTCTTATAAAACATTTTTTTTTTACCTCCTCCGCAATATTATCTTTTTATTTTTTTTTCTCTATTCATTTGATGTCATTCTGCTTATATAATCACCCCATGAAACTGCAGGACCCTCTAAAGGAAGCTATATATATATGCAACGTTACAGCGAGCTGCCAATGCGATAAAGTGGCACAGTCAATTGTTCGTTTTTCTCCTTCTCTTGTCGCAAAATCTTAAACCTTAAGCATTATAAATCTGCAGTAACCCTAGTAGAGACAGAATACTAGGTACCACAAATGGGGAAAATTCCACCTTCCTTCCGTTCTGCAATTTCAAACCCATTTCTTAGAAAGCCATCGTCTCTAGTTCCAGCAGAAACCTCAAAATCAACTGTAACTCCACCAGGAAAGCCCCATAATTTACCCAAGAAGACCTCCAATAAAAAATCATCCCAACTTCCTGGAAAAGTGAGAGAAACTGAGGATTCTGACTCTTCAACTACTCAAAAAGCACTAAAACTATTTAAATCTCCAAGCCTCTCTGATGCCAAGGATGTTTTTGACTCGATCATTAAGAGTTCAAAGACCTTAATTGACCATCGTTTTTATAACTCCATCTTTCAAGCATATGCCTCAATCTCTACTGTCAGTGATTCTGTTGCCTTTCTCCGACACATGATGAAAAGCAATCCTACTTTCTCACCTGACAGATCAATATACCACACCTTGCTCTCCCAATCATGTAAAACACCTGATCCAAGCCTTGCTCCTGTTCATCAAGCCCTGAATTTAATGGTCACTAATGGCGTAAACCCTGACAAAGTTACAACTGATATAGCTGTCCGATCACTATGTTTGGCAGGTCGCTTAGAGCATGCAATTGAATTGGTCAAGGAATTGTCCTTGAAACACTCAGTCCCTGACACTTACACGTTCAATTTTCTTGTTAAACATTTGTGTAAATCCAGTAAATTGGGCACTGTCTACAATTTTATTGATGACATGCGGAACTCTTTTAATATAAAGCCTGATCTTGTTACTTATACAATTTTGATTGATAATGTTTGCAATACAAAAAACTTACGTGAGGCTTTGCGATTGGTGGGTGTGCTCAGAGAGGAGGGGTTTAAGCCTGATTGCTTTGTTTACAACACAATAATGAAAGGATACTGTATGCTAAGTAAGGGAAGTGAGGCAATTGAGGTTTATAATAAAATGAAGGAGGAAGGTGTGGAGCCTGATCTTGTCACTTACAACACTTTGATTTTTGGCTTATCAAAAGCTGGCCGAGTCAAGGAAGCTAAAAAGTTCTTGGGTATCATGGCAGAAATGGGCCATTCCCCTGATGAGGTCACGTATACCTCACTAATGAATGGAATGTGCAGGGAGGGGAATGCCTTGGGTGCATTGGCATTGTTGGAGGAAATGGAAGCAAAAGGGTGCAGTCCAAATTCATGCACATATAACACACTGCTACATGGATTGTGTAAATCAAGGATGTTGGATAAGGCCATCGAGTTATATGAAGTGATGAAATCAGGTGGTCTGAAGCTTGAAACTGCTTCTTATGCTACTTTTGTCCGGACTCTGTGTAGGGATGGGAGAATTGCAAAAGCTTATGAAGTGTTTGACTATGCAATTGGGAGCAAGAGTCTGACAGACTTCACTGCTTACTCAACGTTAGAGAGCACTCTTAAATGGCTCAAGAAGGTCAAACAACAAGGTTACACAATTTGATTGGTACGTGTCACTGTCTACTTAAAGTTATGTGTCTCATTGTCCTGAAGGCTTGTTACACTATCGATGTTTATACTTCTTTTGTTGCAAGACACTATGAAGAAAATATGTACATCGGAGGTTTTTTCTCCTTTTGAAATTTGTTTTTTACAAATAGTTGAATCCATGCTCTTTGGATAGTCCATGAAGAATAGCTGGGCATATTGTAGCTCGAGGTATTTGTCTTGCTCTGGTATTTAGATCATGTTATTTTTCTCGGAAACACCTGATATATTGGTTATGGCTAGAACAAGTTGCTCTCACTCAAGTTCTATGAATGGGCCATGGTAGTAGTCCATGAAAGACTTGATACCTAAGATAGACGGAGTTGTAATGTTTTAAATTTTGATATGGTACCCATGTTTATGTTCCCCACCCTGTCACGATAAGTGCGCCTTTTGTTTTTCTGACATATTCTTCCATTGTAATGTAATTTTGGGTAGTTGGAGTTATTTAATTTTTTGTTCTTAAAATTGTATGATTCATCTTAGCTATTGCATTTTCTCTTACAAGACATGTTAAACCAAGTAAATATTTGTGTGTCCTTGTTGCCAGCTCTGCAATGCGACGGCTGCTTAGCTGAGTTCCTCATTGGAACCGTGGCGAACATGTCCCTACTAAAAATTGAGGTCGGCTGACAGCTAAACATGGAAATCACATGGGTAAGCTTAATTGTTCATTTACGAGCCAGCTGCAGTGGTGGTGCATATGAGATCTCGTAGCTGTCGAAGGAGTGTCTCGGCCTTGATCCTTTGCTTTGAACAAGTTTCCAGCATCATAGCAGCGTAAATGGGATGCAGCAAAATCGAGTGTGAAGGGTAAACTGCTAGGTACTGAAACCCGATTGAACTCCCCGACTTTCAGCTTTTTAAGATATGTGGAAGCTCTAAGCTGCCAGTTTTTTCATGCCAAATGGCGCCTTCATACACTCTTCTGGGATCTGTTTGTGGTGCAGACCCTAATTTTGTCATCAATTGTTCCTTATTTTGGTTTCATACTGTGCAACCATGCCTCATTGCGGCATTGATATACAATTGATTTTATATAGCGGTATGTTGAAAGGTGTTAATTTCTACGCAGATTTGTGGAGGGAATGCTTCTATGTAATTCATGCAACAATATGAAAATGGCGAAATGCGACTAGCCTTTTCAACTTTTTCGGCCACTTTTTGGAGCCCTCTTTTTTGTGGGAGGGAGTTGTAAGAGAGTTTTTTCGTAAACAGTTGGGGATCTAGGCCTCAAAAGTAAAGTGAGAATATAGGGAGTTGGTCAATATGAATTGAAAGAAATATGGGTTGAGTTGAACTCATTTTTATATAAGTTAAAAAAATTTCAATCTAACTTAATCTTTGAAGGTTGGTGGATTAAATAGGTTAACTCACCAACTCATTTATTTTTTTTTTATGAATTTTTTTAAATACATCTAAATAATACGTTTTAATTTGATAATCTTTCATATTCAATCTAAATATATTAAAATGTTAATTTACAATGTTTTTATAAAATATATAAATTGATTTAGTTAATTAAATCATGCCTAATATGACTTTATATTTATAAATTTTTTTCCCTTTTCCCTTTTTGTTAAATTTTTTGAAAAAATAATATAGGTTAAATAAGTTAATTTTAACATATCAAGATTAATTATGTTTCGCGGTTTATATGGTCCGGATTAAAAAAAAAATTCTTTTTTATTTAGATTAATTTTTTTCCCAACCTGACTCAAACCTAATAATCAGTTATTCAGCCAACCCACATAATTTGACTTATATTTTCAGCTCTACCCAACGGCAAAACTCAAGGAAACGAGTCTTGGGTGGGCAACACCCAAAGCAACTCTGTGCAACAAGCCCCAAGCTACGGAAATCAGCTGGCAGTTCATGCAGTTTGTTTGACAAATTCTTGGTGTCGGATGGAAATGGATCCTTTAAAATTGAAAAATTATGGATTTTCTCAAATTTGTCTATTTGAAAAAGAAAGAGAATATTTTTTTTCATAAAAAATAAAATGAAAAAGATTTTAAAAAGAGAAACTGTACAGAAATTTATAGATCTCAATTTTAGGAGACTCACTTGCGCCTGGGTCCAGAACTTTTATTGAGCTTGAAGTTTGGAAATATAAATATAATGAGTTCATAGTTAATTTGAACAATATATGTATTTATTTTCTTTTTAATTAATTTTGAAAATTTAATGTAAAAATGACAATTTCACCTTGCAAAATGTGATAATGTCTTTTAAGTCATTGAAGGTTTTGATGAAATGATAAAAAATACTTTTTAATTTAAAAAAATGAGGAAAAATAGTAAGAAAAAGTTATAAGTGCCTAAACCACTTTAATCATTTATTAAATTAGACTTGTAAATTTTAGAACTAAAGTTGTGAGGAAAAAAATTGTTGGACTGTGCTGATTGAAAAAAAAATAGTAAGAGAAGGTTGTGAATTCTTAGATTACTTTATTATTTATTAAATTAGAGTTGTGAACTAAATTTTTTTTGTTAAACCTTGCTAATTGAAGAAAAATGATGAGAGAAAATTGTGAATACTTAAATTATTTTAGTCATTTTTAAATTAAAGTTGTGAATTTCAAAACTTAAATTCTGATGAAAAAACTTTTGTTACTTTCTTCGTTAAAAAATGTAAGTCATTTTTTGAGAGTTAGATGTTAAAAAATGTAAAATATTTTTAGTTTTTTAAGGTGTAAACATTATTTTTTTAAAAGTTTCCTTATTAATAGTGATGTTATATTTATTATAAGGTGTTTAATAGGGATAAATATGAAAAGATAGGGTTAGTTTAAAAGTAGATAACTACTTTATTGAGGTAAAATTTAATTAAAAATGTCTTATATTTTTTAATAGAGGGGGTATGTTTTTTAAATTAAAGGATATTTTTGTTAATTTATAAAAATTTTAATAATAATTATATCTCTTAAGACTTAAAAAATATTATCACATTTTACAGAATTAAATTATCATTTTTGAAAAATTTATTTGTCATTCTCCCTAAACATTGAAATGATTCATAATAATTTTTTGCCTCCCAAGTCGAACGAAGAATCCTATCATTGTAAAGAGGCTGCTGATGATAGTGTTGGCCAGGCGGAGAATGCGTTGAAGTATTCTTAATACCTGACAAGAATAATTTGCCATTGTCCATATTTCAACAAAAAAAAAAAAAAAGAAAAAGAAAAGTTGCTTTGCGAAATGGAATACAAAATGAGAAAAGTGGTCCTGTGATTTTGGGGGCAGATTTTGTTGCATTGGCAAATTAAATCATCAATCAAATCAACGTTACAGAAATTGTTAGTTCTTTTTTGTTTTATTTGTTTGACCAGGCCAGATTTCAGACATTTTTTTCATTATAAATTATTTCTATTAATTTCATTAATATTAATGTAAAAAAATATAAAAAATAATAATATATAAAAATTTTAAATATATTTTTTATATAAAAATAAAAAATAATATCATGTTATTTTTTTCTCTCCCATAAAAAATAATTTTATACATATTTTTTAAATATTATCTAAAAAATTCACCATAATTTATAAATAAAATTAAATAAATATTTTAAAATATTCCTTATAAACGAAATGAGATAGAGTATCAGCTTAGGAAGTGACTTTGCTCCTCCACATCTTCCCTGCTTTACAGTAACTGACTCTATGGAACTAGATTTAATATTTTAATTTTAATTTTATATTTATTAAAATGAAATATTTATAAAAATTACAAAAAAAATAATAAATCTGATCACTAAGCAACCTAGGTTTGTAATTTTTTATTACCAAAATAAACATTTATAAAAAAATTAACATTAAATTTTTATTATTTAAAATATATTTAGATGATAAATTTGTAAAAGTTATAAAAAATTTTAATATTATTTTTTACTGGCTTGTTTTTTACCAGCAAAAATTTTAATATTATTCAACTATTCAAATTAAATCAATACTACCTAAATTAGTGATGAGTTATCATTTTTATTTTGGTGTTATAAATCTAAACTGTTTGGTGATTAGATTTGTTAAATTTTTTTGATAATTTTTATAAATATTTTATTTTAATAAATATAAAATTAAAATTAAAATATTAAATTTAAATAGATTAATTTAGTAGGTCCAGATCTTCTCTATGGTTCGGTGGTCGAGCCGAGACGCAGAGTAGCGGAGCCAATTCTGGAACTTCATTCGATTCCTCCGGATCAATCATGCGTGGTAGGTTCTCTCTTTCTCCCCAGCCTCCTTATCTTTATTCACCTCAACTTTAACTCTTAAAGAGAGAGAGAGAGAGAGAGAGCAGCCTTCTCGTTTCTTCCCTTCTTCCTTTCTCTCTGCATAAATAAAAAATGAAATTCAGAAAGAAACAAAAAAAGTTGTGAAGTGCATGCCTCTGTCACTTTCCACCAATTCTGACGATAAATTATTAGTTTCTTTCTGTTTTGTGTAGAGAATCCAAGGAAGCTTCACCTGAGCTGGCGACTTGTTCACCTTAAAGGCCGTTCTGTTATTTTTGTGGCTGCATTTTCCTTCCGCTCTTATTCACCGTCCACCCTTGAAGCTGTAAGTGGCAAACTAAACTTTTGCTCTCTTCTTTTATTCTCTTGGCCCTCGCAGGCGTTAATCTTTCCTTCTTTGATTAAGTTGATGTGAATGATTAGTGGAATTTGTGATCGCAGGTTGATTCGGTCCCGTTTTAGATTTGGATAACGTGCCCAAGCTTGAAGCTTCCTTCAGGTAAGCTTCTAGCCACTAACTTTATTGCAAGCTATGAAGGACCTTGTCGTTGCCAAAATTTGAAAGCACCACCCTATACTTCAATTCTGACCTTCTCCGTTTACTGCCTGAACTTGAACCTGAAAGTGCATCACATATTCCAACCACTTCGTCAGGCAGAGAAAGAGGATATGGGGCTATATGTCCTAACAATTGGACCGTTGCAAAATCTTTCATCGATGAAGGTCACAGTGCCTTGACTGCAGTCTCCAGAAATTACTTGTTCACTCCAGTGGCTAGTTTGTAAGAATCTCAACATACTTGGTATTCTGTTACTCCATTGGAGCATCTCAAACCAGACAAAGGCTCTCTAGCTCCTATGCTTCTTCGCTGTTGCCTGCGAACACAATGTTTCGGTACTTATATTTGTACACCCTGAACTTTTGTCTCTTATAGAATAGTTACATCTGGGCACATGAAAAAATTGCATTCATCATTGACCTTGATCAGCATCGAGTATTATTTAGGTTTGAACGAAAACTAGTCACTGAATTATCCTTAATTTTACAGAATACTAGTGTGTTTCATCTTTAATCTTTTTTCACATCCCAAGAAATATGTGTTCCTATTTATTTCATCTTTAATCTTTTTTAATCTCTTGCTCAACTTTTGAATGCGTGGAGTGGGACTAACACTTACCTTACAAGTTGCAACAGGTTTACTACAAAGGCTTATCTCTTATGCCAATAATTTAAGACATGCTAGCTTATTTCTTCCCAAAATTGCTTACTTTTCCTAGCGTTTAATCCTCATAAACTCACCTGACAAAAAGACTAATGTTTACAAATCTAGGAATTAAGAAACTACAAGAGCTGAAGTTGCTGCATGCTCTAGCGGTTAACATTCTTCCCCTAGTTTGCATGAATGCCAGGAAGTGTGATCAAGTGAATGCTTCTGCAGATGCTCTGTTTCGTGCAGATAAAGAAGGGAATATTGAGTTTGTGTTTCAGGTATCAAAAGCAAACCCAGAAATTATGCTTATTGGGGACAGCTCATTTCGAAACATTTTCTGCTGTGCTGTTAATTGCCAACAAGCTAGGGTTTTTAGCCTCATTCATGGGCTTCGCTTGAAGGATGTAATAGCTACAAGCAAAGATGGACATGGAAATGCCTTGCTCCATATGGCAGCTACACAGGCTCCTGCTTCATCTCTTAACCACATCTATGGACCAACACTACAAATGCAAAGAGAATTGCAATGGTTCAAGGTTAGAAAAAGAAACATGCATTCATTGTTGTGTCACCATATCTTTGTCATGTTCTTCCTATCTCATATCTTTCTTAAGTTAAACATTCAATGTTCGTGACTTATTTGAGGAATTGTAAAGGAAAGTAACAAATCACGTAACCATGTTCTGAGATAAAATGCTGTCTTTTTTTAATCTTTTGAAATAAATGCAGGAGGTGGAGAGTATAATACTCTAGCTAATAGAGTAGTTCAAAACAAGGAAGGCTTGACAGCTGAGGAATTACTTAATGAAGGAAGGAGAAAATTGGATAAAGGACACATAATCCTCTTGTTCTCTTATTCTGTTGTGTTGTAGGCATTCTAATTGTCACAATCATGTTTGCTGCAGCTTTTACTGTTCCAGGAGGAAATGATAAAAATTTTGGATTTCCATTATTGTTGAAACAACCTATTCTTGAAATTTTCATATTCTCAGCTATATTATTTCTCCTATCTTCTTCAACTTTTGTTCTAATGTTTTTAGCAATCCTTACCTCTCACAGCTCAGAGGAAAAATTCCTCAAATCCTTACCCATAAAGTTGATTTTAGGTCTCTCCTTACTTCGTATCTCCATTGTAACCATGATAATAGCATTTCTCTCTACCATTCACCTCATGCTGAAGCATGCAAAGTACTTGTGGGAGTCTCCTTTTTATTATACTTGCAAGTGTTCCAATATTCCTCTTTGTACTGTCTCAATTCCCTCTTCTTCTTCATACTGATAGGGGTATCTTTAACAAGAAAGTGGAGATGTGGCCATGAAAATGTACAAGTAATTGATATCCCATTATGTGAATACTAGTTATTGTGACTTTTAAAAACTGTTGGTTGTATAGTTCTGAGACAAAAAATACGTTGTATCATTCAAGACAGGCAAACTAACTGGAAGGTGGATTTTTGTGTTAAAGTTGGAATATATCCTCCTGCTATTGTTGAGGTTTGATATGTTGGACTGGATTTCAGCTGGAGAGAAGGTTTTGGACGTGTGAAGGTTTACCGCAGCAGCACCAATTCACCAAAGCAACCAGATTATGCATCAAAGATCATCATAGACGTCACCTTTACTGAGATAATTATCGCATATACAATTAGTGTCCTCAATAAGGACTGTCATGTATCATTAGACTGTGTATAGAGGTGTAATTGATAGTGTTTATTCTTTAGCTAGGATGGGACTTGAGAATGAAGCTAATTTTCGGGTGGTTGATCGTCTACCAACTTGTTGATTGGAGGTGGTAAATGATGAGAGATTAGTTCATTTTTAGGTTGTATTCTGTTTGTATAATTGTATTTCTGTTTTGAATGATAAATCCAGTCTTCATTCAAAAGGAACATGACTTATAGATGGATAGATAGTTGAGCTGTTTCCTTGTCAGTCACACGGATTTGTACAGAAACAGATTAATTACTATTATAATTTAAACAAGCTCTCATCAACTGAATCAATCGAATTTTCTTTTCCAAGAATATATGCAAGATATGGCACCAGTATGTGGTTCCCTGAGCTTCCCCTCTTGTTCACGTCAATTAATACTCGTGAACATTTCTCTAAGATATTCTGTCCATGCATGCGCTCCTTCAAAGGGATAAGTGACGAATATATTTAAATAATCTTTGAGCCCAAAGTTTCCAACATAGACCTGGAACCTAGGCTTACATCATTAATATTAAGATTAAGGTGTGTTTTTACCTTGAACTTTATTAAAAAATGTTGATTCTTTATATCAATAAATGAGATAATTTATTCATTGAATTATTTTTTTAAGAGCAAAAAACACTTTTTATTAGTCAACCGTTGATTTTTTTTATTTTTTGGTGACATGACATGTATGTTAGGTCCCATGTGAGATTCTGACAATGTTTTTTTATGCAAATTTGTTCCTTAATTCTTTTTTAAAAGTTTTGAATATTCTAAAATCTTTTTTATGAGTGCTTGACACCTTAAAATTTTTTTGAAATAAAATAAATATTGCTAAAATATTTAATAATATAAACATTATTATTTATAAATACTCATTCAAAATTGGTCATTGTCTTTTATAACTTATTTATCCCTAAATTCCTTGGGATTTGCCAGATATTTTGTGATTTTATAAGATTTTTAAGTATTTTAAATACTTGTATTATACTTCATAGTGATTTTTCTTTTGTCAAGAGCAATGTTATGAAGTTGTGGGTTAGACACACATCACCCATAGGCTTCTTCATCAAGCATTAAAAGTCAATTAGTTACTTACTCCTTTCGGTCTCATTTATCAGGCACGTTTAAAAATATCTATTTAATTTTATTTATAAGCTATGTTATGACTTTTTAATTAACATTTAAAAAATATTTTTAAAATTACTCTTCATAAAAAATAATATGATATTACTTTTTAAATTTATTATATAGAGACATATTTAAAATTTTATATATTTTATTTTATATATTTTTTTCACATTCGTATTAATAATATTAGTAGAAATAATTTATAGAGAAAATTGAGAGGTATAGCTTCTGTAAAACCGTCTTTAAAGTGCAGAAATATTTTATACTCTAATGTAAATTGATTTTTCCTTGTGACCTTATATATTTTTCTTAAAAAAAAAAAAACACGCACGAGACATGAGATGATGAGATCTAATTGATTGATTAATAATAATTTCTCAAATAAAACTATCCTGGTGAGGTCGGCCGAGGCCGCTGATATAATTAGATTTCGGTACTATGGAATGCGTTCGATTATAGTTGGAATAAACTTAATTAAATATTGTGTCACTCTGAGTCTGAGTCTGACATACAAGCCTGACATACAACCCATCCTCGCCACCTGCCAGCAGAATACGTGTACGTGTCCTCCTTTCAGCACCTACTGGTCTGATCTTATTTATCAGATATTTTATAAAAATAAAAGATATCTTAATTATATTTTTTTACTTAATAAGAGAATAATTAAATGTTAAAATTTTTTAATAAATAAAATATGAAACTTTTAAAACACGTAAAAACAATCACCGGAAGGGAAAAGGGGTGAGAAGCTCGATAACCCAATAGATCGAGAGCTCATAGGAGTGAGTAATGAAAGCATTGGTTAAACAAAAAGGAGACATTAAGACTTAAGAGTACATGCCACTCGTGCACACATTAAACAAAGTGTTCATTGGACTTCTAATACTTATCTAACACTCAAATTATAACCCATTTTCTTAATTCCTAATTAAGAAGACCCAAATCTCACTCTCCCAAAAACCCTTTTTTTAAAAAAAAAAATCGTTTTGAAGTGGAAGCAGCTTTTTAAGGGGACAGGCGAGACAGGTGACATGTTTGAAGATGAAGCAGGCTTCACTTTTGTTGATGGAAATGGGAGGCTAGTGTGGCAATAGAGGAAGCACACTACGTGATGACTAATGGCGTTTTTTTGTTTCCCAACACAAATTTATTCTAATATTCTTTACACCCATAAATATATATAACATTTGATTGATTGTCAAAATTATGGCCACAAAATGTTTCTCAATCTTCCACAATCCTCTGTCCTCTAACATATTATTTATTTTTTTTAAAATGACAATTGTTGTTTTTTATGCTTTTTTCACACTTAAAAATTTATGTGATAATCATGTGACTTCTACATACTAGTTTTAATAGAAATTCGTAAGAGAAATGTGCTCTTGAGCTGGGAAAAAACAGACAAATTTGCTTTTGATGATGAGGAGAGCCGTTGTTTATGAGGCGGCTGGGATTGGAAGGGGAAAAAAAAAAGATACGCACATATGCATATGCTAAAAGGTTATTTGTGTAAATTTTGACATTCCTTTTAATTCTAATTATAAATCATTTGGGTATATTTCAATCAAAATTAAAAAAAATCTTAAAATTAATCATCGCTCTCTAAAAGAAAACAAATTTATAACTTTATTTTTTATAAAATATAAATAATTTAATGTACTTTTTTTCTTCATCACTAGCATTAATGATAGTAAAAAAAAAAAAATTATAATATAAAATCAACAACATATCTTATAAATAAAATAAGAAATCACTTTTTCTTTCATTATATATCAGATTGAAGAGAATATATTAATTTTATAATAAGACAAGAACATATCTAATTTTTCAAATAACAATGACAACATATAACAATTGTGGGACTCAATGTCGGGCAGAAACGAGACAATTTCGCCAAACTTAAAGGGAATCCACGCGGGCACCACATGCTCCTTCACCTTCTCTGCCGTCTCTACTTTTTCCCTCTTAAAAAATGTCCCCGTCACTTATACATAAACAGCATTTCAAGACTTGAAATTTAAATACAAACATCAATTTTGAGGCTCTACACGCAGAAAACAGATCAGGCATGGTTCTCAAATACCATGCTCGCTCTATCAGCTTGCCCTCTAGATCTCACCCTACCACCATTAAAGTAGACGAAGAGCTCAACAATCTCAAGACTTGGGAAGCAACATCCACACCCACATCAGACTCGGTTCGTTCAGGCCTGTTCTTGCTTGAAGATGTCTACGTGAGCTTGGACGAGCTTCTTAACATGCCGTCAACCCAAATGGCCGTTTCTCAGCATCAAGCTGATACCTGCGTGGAGGAGCTTTTAGATGGATCGGTTAGGGTTTTGGACACATGTGGCATCACGAGGGACATTTTGTTGCAGATCAAGGAAAACGTTGGAGCCCTTCATTCTGCTGTCAGAAGAAGAAAAGGAGACTCGTCTGTTGAAAAAAGTGTAGCAGAATACGAGTTCTTCACCAAGAAGATGAAGAAGAATGTAAAGACGCTGATCACAGACTTGAAGCATATGGAAAGCAGATTTGGTGCTACCCCACTTCTGAATCTCGATGATCAGATGGCTTCTGTGATAAGAGTGATCAGAGAAGCCATTGTGATGAACGTGTCAATCTTCCAATCGCTGTTAGCCTTCTTGGTCATGCCAAAGGAGGCAAAATGGTTTGTGGTCGCGAAATGGATGCACAAAGGGACCGTGGAAGCATGTGAAGAAAAATCAGAAATGGTGAATGAGTTGAAGAGTGTAGAATCAGTACTGAACAGTGTTGTGAGCGAAGGTGGTCGTGTTGAGAAGATGAAGATTGTTCATGCAAGATTGGAGGCTTTGGAGATGGCCATTGAAAGCCTTGAGACTGGGTTGGAGATTGTGTTTAGGAGGTTGATCAAAACTAGGGCTCCCTTTTGAACATAATCTCTCAATAAGAGAATCAATCTCTGGCAAATTCTGTTCAAAATCCTGCAAGCCATCCATATTTTAGGGATGAGGATTCAATTTTATGAACGTATATATATACATGTAAGTGAATATTTATACTCTGAAATATAAACAGAAGTTTATACTTTATAATTTGAGGCCTTCTTACTTGTTTCTAGTTTTTTTTTTTTTAAATTTCTGGATGGGGCACTTCTAAATGAATTATAATGATAATCTGGCGTTCTGGCTTCTTAAAAACATATACAGCTTGAAATAAAAGATTAAATGTCCATACCTATCTCGTTCTCACACTTTGTCTTGCATTCATGACATCTCAACTTAAAGAAAGCCAAGGTGATATAGCTGATACAGAAAAACAGAGATTTTAATGATAGCCAAGATCCTTGAAATTTAAACATTTTTCAAGGATCATAAATGATAGAGTTTGAAAGATTATGTTGTAATTATGTGAAATAAAACTGTTAATTTTAATAAACATAAGTGATAAATTAATTTTATGTACAATTCTTGTGATGAACTTTACTTTTTAAAAGTCTTAACTGGTATTAATGTAGGCTATGAATCCTTATAGCTTCCATTTTAAATTGTGATTGTATATATAATAGAACAAGCCACTCTATAAAATAATTGTGTTACAGATCTGCATTATAGATCGCGATTACTCTTCACTTGTTCAAGTCTCTATGTTGGTAAGAATTTGAGATAGAGCCAAATATTTTATTTGGTATGGTCGGTACCTACCTGCAGGCAACATATCAAAGCATTAAACTCATACTGAATCCATATGGCAACCTACCAAACAACACGCCACCCGTGCAATATAAAGAAATTACATCAATACTTCACATGAGATTTTCTCAAGTGATTCTTCAGCAACCAAACATATCCAAAAATTTCAAAAAGAGAAGGAATAAAGTACAGAGAAAACAGAGCAAAAACAGAGAAAGAAAGGGACACGGGAATGGAAATGCCTCCGGGCATCAATTGCTTCCAAAAACAGAACAAATCTGTGAGGCTTCTCATAGAAGAGGGGCGGATATGTTCATTGAAAAATATTAAATAAATAAAAAGGATTGATGGATAGTTGCATTGCTGGTGGAAGACAACAAAACCCACAACACACAAAATATTTCATCAGGCCACAGTGTCTCTCATGTCTAATATATATTTCAAACACGGAGAGGATTTAATAATAAAACCAGAGTGGGCTGCTATGGAGATAAGATGGATCACAATAGCTGTGATCCGCGAACAATGAAATTTCTTACATCTTGTTGACTAATAAGTCGGCACATTTTGACATTTGTGGTGGACTCTTTCACTGTAGAAACAATCAATGTCGCGCAGAGTGTCTTGATCATCTAGATCTAGCTCTGTTCTGCAATTTGGTTTGGCTCTCAGTTGGGCGTTACAATTTTTGAATGTCCATAATGGCAATGGTCTCAGTGGCTGCAGGATGGGATGCATGAACTCTCTGATAATAACACTCATCTTTTTACCATTCCATATTCTTTCTACACACAATTTGCTTTATTGAGTTGTAGAGGGACTCACGGCTCAACAAAGATTGCATATATGGAAAGATGATGCATGGATCAAAGATCATGAAGGCCAGGTGAAGGAAACCATTTTCCCACATTCATTGGCCTCACCCATTTAATTTCCCAGTTTCCTCTATACTTTAATTAAAGAATCAAATCCATTTGCTCTAACACACATCCAACCCCACCAAACTGACTTATAGCTTCCGGGATTCTACCAACAAAAATGCATTATAGGACTTAGGCTATTTTAGTCTTTTTAACTAGATTTCCGTCTTTCTCAATTTTCACATTTTCTAACGTTAACTAGCAGAAGTATTGTGATTCCTTTCTATGTCGAGATTACATCAATTGATTTATACTTTCCAATTCCATCCACACCTTTTGTAGTCACCTAACAAATCCTAAATTTATATCCACACACACACACACACTAGACCAACATAGTGTCATGCTAATATTGAAACGATTCATTTCAAATGAGGAGACGTGCGACGCGATCTAGATTATCAGTTGCACTAAAAAAATTATTTTCAATGATTTGGATTCAATTTAGTAAACAAGAATAAAATAAATTTAAAATATGATGTTTGAATAAAAAATAACATTTAATACTCCATCCGTTATAAAATGTAAGTAATTTTTTAAAATGTTAAATGTTAAAAAATATAAAATATTTTTAATATTTCAAAATGCAGTTAATGTATTTTTTTTAAAAGTGTCAATAAATAAATCATTTTATATTCATTTTAAAGTAAAATGCTCTATTAAATAAAAAAAAGATGAAAAGATGATATTAATTTGAAGACAACTAACTCTTTTATTGAAAGATGAGATTCAGTTAATAATTCCTCACATTTTTTAACAAAGAATGTATTTAATATTTTTTAAAAAAATTATGAAACAATAATTATAAAGATTGTTAATAAAAAATATAAAAAAATATTTTCAGCTCTCAAACAAATTTGGATTCAATGAGTATCCTATATACACTTACTCAATGAGTATTTTAATTATAGCCATTTGATTTTAACAATACTTAAAAATTATTAATATATGTTTCTCTTTAAAAATCTAAAATTTAATACCTTTTAAGTATCATATGATAAAATTATTGATAACTATTAAATTAAATTAAATTATTATTATTATACCACATGAGATATGATTAAATTAAATTTATTGCTTTTTAAAATATATATATATATATATATATTAACCAGTAATGAGCATGCTCGTCACACAAGATCTAAAACGTGTCCTGACAATCAACCTCGCGGTCAAATTGTGTAACCCTTGGTGATCCCTGCTGCATAGGATTCCGTTCCCCCTCATCGAAGCTTCATTGTCCACGTGTCAAACCCACTAACGGCTAAATTTTCCCAATGCTGAGCCATTACACAACATTACAGCAGAGCGCGAGAGTGGGGCCGTGGGATCTCCCCATCAACGAAGGAAAAGGGGAACTTTTTGTAACCTTCTTTCATTGAACCGTTACTCGCCTTCTTCCCTTCCTCCCTCCCTTTTAAACCTCAAACCTCACTCGCTGTCTCTCTCCGTCTCGCACCCATGACTGTCGCAGAGGCAGCCACAGCCAACACCAAGAAGCTCATGAAGCTCTTTATCTCTCTTCTCCGCCGAGGCTTCAGCTCCTCCAAATGGTACTTTTCTCTCACATTTCTTGAAAGGCCGAATGAGTCCAGTTGTTTATTATTATCAGTTTTTTCGTCACATTTTCTCGGCAAAATCAAACCGGGGTGGTTTGATCTCGGAAAATTTAAAGGAAAATCTTTGTTCCCTCCTTCCCTTCCATTCTCCTCAGTCGAGAAATTCTAGTTATGCTTCTCGTTTGATTACGGAATTAAGTGATGGATTGGTGAAAACAGCAAAACGGCGGCAAAGTTGGCGGTGGCCAGGATAAAGTTGCTGAAGAACAAGAGAGAGGTGGTGGTGAGGCAGATGAGGCGAGACATTGCGTTGCTTCTCCAGTCTGGTCAAGATGCCACTGCTCGTATCAGGGTAATTTTCGTTATCGTTCACAACACCCATAGCTGATACATTATCTCTCAAATTTCTGCTCTCCCTTTTCTTTTAAAGTTCAAGTGGAGATTTTTTACCCCCAAGTGTGATTGGCTATTTGATTCAGAACTCCCAGTGAAATATAATCTGTTATTTTGCTTTAAAAGGATGGTCACTCTGTTACCAATTTGATACTGTTGATTGCTAGGTGGGTTTATCATATTTTCAATGCCTGTTAGTTGCTACCCATATTGCGTGTTTTGGAATGAGTACACCATTTGTTATGGTCAGCTTAATATTGTTCACTTCTTAAATCAATCCAAGAACAAAGAGTTTCTCAGTCACAGTTTAAACTATTATCTTATTGTGCTTTTCTGGCAAGCATTAGACGATTGTCGTTAATTGAATGGATTTGGGGAAAATATGCTAGCAAACATTAGATTATACAATAGGGAGTAAGGAGGTGTTGGGTCGGTGTTGATTTAATTTCAATAATACATGTGGATGCATATGTACCAGAGCTCCTAGTGTTCTAACATCATCTGATATATTGCTTCAAAAGGATGACTCCTCTGTTATGGAAAAAGTGGGTTCATGACATATTTGACACTGTTAAGTACGAGGTGAATGTATTTAGATGGATTGTACAAGAAGTTGTAAATATATCTTTACTGACTCATTTTTTCTACTTAATATGGTCTTTTTTGATAACACGGCTCTGCTTTTGGCATGATTACTTTGTGATATCAGTCTAAAGACACGAACTCAATTTACAGGTTGAGCACGTGATGAGAGAGCAAAATATTTTGGCTGCAAATGAGTTCGTTGAACTCTTTTGTGAGTTAGTTGTGGCTAGACTTTCAATCATTGCAAAACAAAGGTAAAAGTAAGCAAATTCTTTTTGTTTATTGTAAAATTAGCATATGTGAAATTTTGATTCCAATCCAACTTATTACAGGGAATGCCCTGCAGATCTGAAAGAAGGGATTGCTAGCCTAATATTTGCAGCCCCTAGGTGCTCAGAAATTCCAGAGCTTTCGGCACTTAAAGATATCTTTCAGAAGAAGTATGGCAGAGACTTTGTATCTGCTGCTACTGATCTGAGACCAAGCTGTGGTGTAAATCGCCTGGTAAGTTTTCTCGGAGTACATTTGTGGACTTCGCTTGAAATTTCAACAAAACTCTTGAGAGGTTTGTAAATAGACAGAGGAAGGATTGCGTTGGTCTTGAGAGTTCTCAGTAATTTACTATTCTTCAGTTTGGTGCTTCCAGCTTCATATGTTTCTCAAAACTCATTCAGAACTTCATATCCTTCCAACTTCGTTTATTTCTCCAAGAACTCATTAAGAACATGCTAATTGCAATGACTATCAGCTAATTGACAAGCTCTCGGTGCGAACACCTCCCGGGGAAGCAAAGTTGAAAGTGATGAAGGAAATAGCTAAGGAATATCAGGTTGAATGGGATACAACAGAATCTGAGAAAGAACTTCTCAAGCCACCAGAAGAGCTAATAGTATGCAATCTGTCTCTCTTTCCTTTTTGGTTTTTCCCCTCATATTTCTGTTAAAAATTTGGTTCTTATCTTTCATCATCAGGAAGGACCAAACACTTTTGTCAGTGCCAGCAACTTACCCGTCAAGCCTTCCACAACTACTCAATTCAGGGAGACCAACAAACCCACTTCCAAGTAACACACAAGTTTATGCATTTAGTTAGATCGATTGTGTACCTGTGAAGTATTTATATTATGTAGTTATTTACTTTCGTTTCATCCATTAGGTTAGCAGGCTGTAGCGGCCAGGGTGGCAACGTGCAGTTTGAAGACTCGAAGTCTGCTGCTGAGGCAGCAGCTGAATCAGCCATGAAAGCAATAGCTGCTGCAGAAGTTGCTGCTTATATGGCTAAGAAGGAAGAAGCTACTCAACGATCTATTTACGATGATAAGTTGAATAACTCAGGAATTGATTCAGTGTTCTTCCAATCAAATAATGGTCCTGCAAATAACGCCCACAGGATGGATCGTCAAGTGAAAACCCAAGAGACAATGCACAAGTCGCGTAGCTTACCAAGGTCTGATCACGTAGACGTGAATTGTGAAAAGGGTTATAGGAGATACAGCTACAATCCAACTTCTGCGCATTCGGATATTAAATTTGATGAATCAGATTGTGACGAAGAGATTGAAAAGGAAGAAGAACCTCATGGCGTTTGGCCGCCGCCTAACCGGCCCCCGCCACCAGCACCTTCATCTCGGGATGGAAATGCTCGTGTTCACCCCAAATTGCCGGATTATGATGAACTCGCTGCGCGCTTTGAAGCATTGAAATTCAAGAAGTCTCAGTTCTAATTTATATAACTATCATAAATTACTCGCATACATGCACACACAGTATTTGACAATATTTGAAAACATGTATACACAGTATGTCATGCTATTTGATATTATACTTTATAATTGTTGGGAATTGCGATGCCAAGTGCTAATACACTTAACTTGATATGGGATGCCTCACATCTAGAGAATTTGTCTTAATGAATGGTATATAAGTGGGAGGATCCATGATGTCTTAAAGTTGTAGATTAAGATATAGTGTTTGAGCTTATTTATACATCCATTCCTTTTTTTGGGATCGCCCAGTTAGAGCATCAAACATACTTTTTCATCCATACTTTAAGATTTTAAATTAAAATATGGTGTCAGTTCACTTACTGGTATTGGATCTAGCTGAATACCCTCTTGCTTAATGTGGGGTAGTTTTTTTTTTCTTTCTTTCTTTTTTTATTGAACACAGTTGTAATCTTATTCGACATACAGTCAGATATTAAATATAAGCACCTCTCTTTTAGTGAGAACTTAAATGTTAATTCATTATGTTATGAGAGACCAATCTTTTCTATTAGACTTAATTTTTATTGGTTGTGCAGGGTAGTTTTTTATTGGATAAGGTTGGGTTGAAAAAAAAAAAAGAATATATAAGTGAAAGAATTTATAAACTCAACTTAAGTTTTGTGTAAAGACGTGATGTTAAGTGTTAAACCTACTTATGTATTTCCTTATTGCAAATGGATAGTAGAAACACGTGTGAAAAGGGGCGCAAACCATGGCGACCAAAACCAGTTTTGTCGGTAACTTTCAAATTTTGATTATACATTCAAAGAATTTAATCATGACCCGATAACGAAAAATGCCCTGCTTGTTATATTTTTAAATGAACTTTGTGAAACTGCAGGTCAAACAAAAAAACCTATGTAAAGCTCAGTGATAAGCATGAAGGACTTGTTGATCTGTCAACAGCGTTTGCCTTATTCCGATCTCCAAATTTGAAGAGTACGAAATATAAGAAATTTTCTCATGGAAAAATGACAACTACCGTATAGAAAAATTAATTACTTGCAAGTTCCATCCACTTATAAATACTAAAATTTAACATGTAAATATAGAAGTTTGACTTATAAATGAACTGAAAAAATAATTAATTTTTTTATTTAGAACCTAATTGTAATTTTCCCTTTTTATTTGTGTTTAAGCTTCCAGAACATATGGAATTTCCCCGCTTCAAGTTTCATGAAATTCTTTAGTTTCGTAATTTTTTATAATTAAACTCACCTTCTATCATTAAACCCCCGTTACATACACTTCAATACTTCTTCAATTCGTCCAAAAATCATATTTATGACCTCAAGTTTCAATCAACTCGTGAAAAATGAAATTACTATATATCCTCAAAATGTCTTGTCATTCAACTCTCTTCAATAAAAAAAAATGGAAAAATAATAATATTTTAATAAAAAAGAGAGTATGTATGAACAGAAATTATTTTTAATTTATTTGATGTAAACTCTCTATAAATGGTGCAACACTGTGGCGATATCTAATATTTTTCCTTCATGAATCAAATTCTCTCCCACCTGTGCCTCCATTATTTCATTGATGTTGACCAAAAAAAATTTGTGTTACTAACTTGTCAAACCCAAGAAAAACCAGAACAGGAGAGAATTATTCAACATACACTTTTTGTATAAAAATAAATAAATATGTGGCTGTTTGACAACTTATTTTAAGGACAGTTCTTTATTTTTCAGTATAAAAAAATTTATTTGCTAGCATGCTTTCAAAAAATGCTTTGAAGAATAAAAAAATAAAATATTATTTTAAAAAATAAAAAAATATTTTTTAAATATTCTAGAATTATTGTTCTAGAGAATGAAGAGAAATAAAAAAATAATTATTTTTATAATTTTTTAATTCTTAAAATATGCTATAAAAAACACCAATTCTTAAAATAATAAAATAAAAATAATTTTAAACATGCCCTATATTCTTTTGTTGATTAACTGGGCGGCTGTACTTATAGGTTGAAGGTCTTTCTAGTTTTAGCCTCGTTTTTTTTTTTTTTTGGTTATATCTTTAGTCGTGACGTGTTATACCAAAAAAAAAAAAAAAGCTTGAATTGCGAGTCTTGTAATGTCTTTATTCTTTAGCAGTGTAATTTTGTTCGTGCGCTAATACTTCTTTAGCTTTGTTCATGGAGTAGACAAAGATTATTTTATTTTGATTTTATTTATAGGGTATTTTAATATTTATTATATCCATGCATCTTTACTATTTTATCCTTATTAAATGTTAAAAAAATTATTAAATGTTAAATTATTTTATTTTTAAAATATGTATATTTAATAAGAGTAAAATTAAAAATTTATTAAATTTTCAAGTAAAGTTAATGCAAGGACGGATATATGACCAACTTGGGGAGCCAAAATGTCAAATTACATGATAGTGGGGGCCTCTTGATTCTAATGAAATATATTAAAAATAATTTATAAGGAGCATGTCCAATAAATAAATGATCTGCATGTATAAGTGTAGGAACTAGGAAGTATATGTTTGAATATATGTTTGAACAGAGGTTCCTTGTGTTGACCTTTTTCTTTATGTTTTTTTTTTCTTTTCAAAGAGGTACCATTTAATTAACAATTAGTATTACATCTGATTTAGTAAAAGAACTTCATATTGACGACCAAGTACGGTAATGAAATTTAGAAGAGGAGCTGTTCATAGTTTCATGACTAAATTACATGTTTTATTTTTTTTAATTTATTAATGCGTTTGAAATTAGACCAATCGGCATACAGGAGGGAGATATTTGACTTATTTTTATCGATTTTAACTGAATTGAATTTGGAAGCATTTAAGATCGTACTAGCAGGTTCCCCGGTTCAACAATTATAATCGAGTCAAACTTTTTAGAATAAAAAAAAAAATAGACATCTTTATTTTAAATTAAAAAATCGAATATATTTTGGACTGCAATTCGAGGCATTTCCTCTTTATAGCCAGAGTGTTGGGTTTCCCTTTCCCTTTAAATTTTAACCTCAATCATTCTTTCAGTAGTTAGAATCTATTAATCTCAACCGTCGTTTCAAAGATTATTCTTATATTTTTATTTTTTATGTAAAAAGACGTAACGAGTGTATACTATGTGTTTTTTTAATTTCACTTTCTCCCTTCTGAATTATATGGAATTTTTCTGAATATTACATTTAAAAAAACTTATAAATTTTTTTATCTTTCAAAATAAGATTTTCTTAAAAATATCCTTAATTAAAGAGATTAATTGATAATTTTTTTTAATTGTGACATCCTATTAAAAAAGGACAAACATAAAAAATGTGTAATTCTAGAGGTTATTAACTAATTAGTTATTAGAAGGTGTAAATTTGTTGAAAATAATTTATAATTTTAAATGAAATGAGTGCGTGAAAACATTTAAAAAGTCAGCTAGCAGATCAACTATGGTTAGTGGATTAAATATAGTTTGAGAGCATGATTTTTGAAAAATTAAACTAGATGTTGACTATATATTAGCAATGATATTGTTGATATTTGTAATAAAATAAGGAATCATAAAATTTATTAAAAAATGGAATTTTGAATTCTGATAAATTATCATTATTATTTTAATGAATTTGAATGTGGTAATTCTAGGTAGAAAGTAGAACATTTTTTTCATTATTTCATTAGAATGAATAATGATAAGTCATCCCCTTTAATTGCCAAATATTCATACTTTCTATTATTCCAATTAAAATCAATCAAAAAGATTATAAATCAATAAAAGAAAAGTGACTCTGTTATTACAAGATACCATTTTTGTGAATGTAAATAGTTATTTGATCGGGTTGACTCATACCCTCATGTAAAGAGAGTGCAAGTTGAGGTTAATCATCAGATATATTGAAAAAGAAATAAATATATTACTTATTGTGTTAAAAAATGTAAAATAATTTTAACCGAATCTCATCCTTCAATAAAATAGTTACTTACTTTTAAATTAATTTTATCTTTTCATATTCACCGTTATCAAATACCCTATAATAAATATAAATTTATTATCAATATAGGTACTTTTAAAAAAAATTAATGATTATACTTTAAAAAATTAAAAATATTTTATATTTTTAATATTTAATATTTTAAAAAATATAAAATATTTTTTAATAAAAGAGCATAATTTCTTAGCATCTTTTGCTATCTCCATGGGTGAGGTGTGCCTGACTTGAATAATCCACCACATGATTAAAAGAAGCTCCCGGACTTGGAAAACGACGCTTTAGCTATCCGTCAAATTCGTGTCTGTAATAACAGATCCTAATTGGGTCTCTTTTCCTTTATGAACGGAAATAAAAGTAAGCTGCCTTTCATACATAACTGGAACTCGAAAATTCTAAGCATGACGCAAATCATATGTAATTCATCCGTTCATATAAACATAACGTTGGTTGGAAATGTTGAATTATTAAACGGAAAAGTACGCACCGGTTGCTTTCCCATGAAGAAGAACATTGAATTGCAATCCAAATGCCTTAATAAGTGCACACTTTTTAACTGAGAAAATTCAGTGGAGGTCATTTCGATAAAAATAATTAAAATTTACTTAACATATGTATAAGATTTTTATTAAAATTATTTTCCAAAAAAATATCTTAATAATTTACACTTGATCCATAATTCATGCACTGCAAGGTTGGAACAATCCCACTATATCGTGCGAACATTTTGGACATACGGTTATGGACGCCCTAATTGACCAGACTCAAATTCAATATGTGCGTATGTATACGTATATCCACTTATTTTAGTTTAATAATAATGATGATGACTTTGTCTTTTTCCTTTTTATGTACTTTCTCTTCTTTCACCTCTCAGGGTTGTTGGGAGTTGAACCTCTCATTCCCATAAGGCGCAAAATGCTGACCAAGACTTGTTTCCTCATAAAAATTGCTCCTCTCAGCAAAACGTTCAAAAAGGTGTTATAAAGATATCATTTCTTTTTTATTAAAAACAATCATCTTATTGACTACTGTCCTTAAATGCTTTTACAAATAATTCATTCCTTCAATTCCTTTTTTTAATGTTTGTTTCAATCAACCAGAAAAACACACTCACCACTTTTATAAATACAACAATATTATTCTCTCATTCCTAGCTATCTTTTGTAAAACCTTAAAAACCAATAAAATCTGTTTGATTTC